TGTTTTGAGCAATTTTATAGATTCTTTAACCTTTTCATCTGTGGGATTTAGAATCAGAGATTTTTCTTTTAGTTTAATCTCATCTTCCAAATCCTTACGTTTCTGAATCTGCTTTTGTCTCTGAGCACTATTCATTTGTATCAAAATCCCACGCATGAAGGCTTTACCTGCATCCCATACCATTGACATTGAAGTTCCTTTATGCATATTTAAAACAAAATAGTCCTTTAAATGTTCCTTTAATTTTTGAATATTCTTTTCTTGTCTAAATAAATTCTCATTCACCCTCCACGATCTCCTCTCCTCTTTTTCATCAACCAACTCCATCCAAACTGGACTGTGATCCGTCAACGTCCTAGGAAAAATTTTTACATTCTTTACCCTAAAATATAAATCAGTTGTAATAAAAAAAGTCAATTCTTGAAAAAGATTGATGTCTATCTGAAAAGAAAGTAAAGTCTCTCTCCTCCTGATTACGTTCACACCAGTAGTCTCGCAGCTCCCAGTCCTCTTTCAAGTCAAAAAAAGCTTTGGGTAGTTTAGCCTGTTTAAAAAAAGTGGAAGATCCTTTTTTATCTCTTTGTATATCTAACACACCATTCCAGTCTCCCATTAATATCACAGATCTATAATCCAACAAAGTTAGTTTCTGATGCAGCAATCTATAAAATTGTTCCTGTTGTTGTTGGCATACAGTCCCACTATAAGTATTTTCTTACCATATAAACCAACTTCAATCATAACATATCTCCCTTGAGGATCAGATTCTACCAAGCAGGCTGATAAGTTTTGCTTAACATAAATGACTACACCCCCTTTTTTCCCAGGAGCAGAAGATACAAAATGAGATCCCAAACGAGAATTGACTAAATATTTTTGATCTTTAAGTAAAATATGTGTTTCCTGCAAACAAATAATATCATTATTATGTTGCTTTAAGTAGTGAAAGATTTTCTTTCTCTTTTGCGGGGAATTGAGGCCGTTAGCATTCCAAGTCAGGAGCTTTACCATCTCCTTTAACCAAAAGCCTGGAGAAGACTGCCTGAAGGTCTGCCATTGAAGAATGTGTTGCAGAACTCTTGGTCTTGCTCCTCCCACCAGCAACGAAACACTTTCTTGGAAAGATTCTTTAACTTCTTTCTTTTGTTGTTCCTTTTCCTTGCGTCTATGTGCTGCACGGGTCATTCTTTGCTCTTTGATCTCTGTTTGTCGCAACCATTCCATCTGTGACTTTCCAGCAACCATCACATCTAATCCTTCAGACTGCTGTTCCGCCTCTTTAGCATCCAGAACTTTCTGCATCATGGATGACGATGAGCCTGCTCCCAGGACCAAAGTATAAAACTCCTTTGCTTTAGTGACTGTGTTAAGTCTATAACGCGTCCCCGCATGGCTCAAAACAATACCCATCAGAATCTCCCATCTGAATGGCATCATTCTTGTTTTAAGTTCATTAGCTAAAAAAGCAAAGTCTTTTCTATTTCTTAAAATTTTAGATGGGATCTCCTTTAAAATGATAACATCTTGAGCAGCAATCTGGAACCTCTTATTATAAAAAGCTTGTATGATTTCATTACGCAGAGATCTCTTTGCAAAATAAATCACCACATCTCTTGGTAAGTTCTTCTGTTTTGCGACCCAGGAGTTAACTCTGTAAATTTTTGCCACTTCTCTACGTAATCCATCTTTCTCCCTATTCAAAACGACGGCAAGGTCATTAACCACAATCTCTATCATATCTTGATTCATATCCTCTTTCAAACCCCTGATTCTTAAGGCATATTCCATTTCCCTGTACTGAGACATAGCAATATCATCTTGTGAGATTTCCATCTTTTTTTCCATACCTTCAAATTTATCTTCCAGGATATCAACTTTGTCTTCGACCTCTTCCACTCTAGAATCAAGCTTCTCAACCACAGAGGCCAATCCTGATAGAGCCATAACTATATCTTGCCTCAAAATAGTGTTATTCTGTTCTAAAAGTTTCTTCATTTCTCCTCTAATTTGAGTTTTGTTCTGACCTAAAAGCTCCTTCATTTCCCCTCTAATTTCAGATTTGTTCTGATCTAGAAGCTCCTTCATTTCCTCTCTGATTTGGGATACAGCATTTCCCATTATATCTTTCATATCTTGTACGGATAATACTGGCAAAGGAGGAGAAGATGGTGGTGTAACTTTAGGTTGTTGTACTGGTAAGATTGCAGGAGAAGAAGCCACCTTAGGAACTGTAGAATCTGCTTGCCTCTTTGAAGCCATTTTTTAAAAAGATCTTGTTCCCTCTTTCTTCCTTCTTAAAAAAAAAGTACTAAAATCCTCAAAAATTAAAAAAGAACAAAGGAGAATCCAAAAGAAACTTTAAAACCACAAAACCACTTTCAGAAAAAGGTTTAGAAAGTTTAAAAAAGAAAGAACTATATAGTCCATTACATTCCGTTTAACTCGCTTCTTTCCGGGAAAAAAAAAAAAAACTTTCAAATCGCCATTTTACTTTCACTCTCCACACCAACAAAGAACAAAAGAAAAAGAAATCAACATAGACTAAAAAGCAAATAAAACTCAATAAGTAAAATCCTTTATCCGGCTCTGTCCGCTTTAAAAATCACTCACCCGATCATTTTAGGCGCGGAGATGGTAGCGGCGTTTCACTTTGTTTCCAAAGAAACAAAAACAGCTGGGAGGCGGAGGCAACACAAACTCCGAGGGAGCTCTCTTTTCACCCCCCAAAAAGAAAAGTCCTGGGGGGTTTAAGAGGCTCTACCTCTATTCGTGTACTTCTTTACCCCCTCCCTTTGCCCGGGAGGGGGATTTCGAGCCGCGGGACAGCTGGTATCCGCTGTGCTCCGCGGTTCTGACGCTGTCCCAGGAGGACGGCTACAATGTAGCCGCCATCATCGACGCATTCCTTTTGAGATCCTATATTCACAAAAGACTTGTTAGGAAAGCTAGACAAAAATTTTTAGGATGTTTTCACAATAAACAGTAGCCAACAATAGCCAACTCCTATGATGAAAGAAAGCATAAGGATTTTGATCGTCATACTGTATAAAGGTAAAGGTTTCCCTTGTCCAGTTGTCTCTGACCCTAGGATGCAGTGCTATGATTTTCTTAACTGAGGGAGCCAGTATTGTCTGAAGACTCTTCCATGGTCATGTGGCCAGCATGATTGTACTTAGAGGCACACGGAACACTGTTACCTTCCCATCAAAGTGATACTTATTTATCTACTTGTATTTACATACTTTCAAACTGCTAGGTGAGCTGGGGCAAGTGGCAGGAGCTCACCCAGTGGTGGAATTTCATCCAGTTCGCACCAGTTTGGCAGAACCGGTAGCTAACTTTTTGTTGCCCAGGCCCAGAATGGACTTCCGGAAGTGGCATCCACACAGAGAACCGGTTGTTCACATATTTGAATCCCACCACTGAGCTCACCCCATTGTCCGGCATTGTCTGGGTTTCAAATACAGTCTGTCAACTTTCCAGCTGACAAACTCAGCATCTTTAACCCTGAGCTATTATACCCTCTTCATATTGTACACAGGTTTATAATATATAGATGTAATTGTACTTTCAAATTACAGTTCATTGATAAGATGTAGAACAGACCCATTTTACCCCAGGAAAACCCCATTTAATTTAAACCTTACTAATTTGAATGGGATTTTTCTAATTATGAATAATTCTGGATTTTACTAAACACAATGAAAACTATAAATACTCTAAAAATAATAGCTTAATTTTGCCCTTTTCTTTCTTACCATAGTAAGAAAAAGGTAAAAAGTAAGGAGAACAAAATTATACAATGAATGATATGCAAAACAAAGTGTTCCAGCTTTTAACAGCATTTCCCAGCAAACTATGCTAAGAAAATGATGGTGTTTAAGTTAACTTTAATAGGGTATATGTTTATATATGATGTGATATGATATGATATTTTATGGTATGGTATGGTATGGTATGATATGGTATGGTATGGTAGAGTAGAGTAAAGTAGAGTAGAGTAGAGTAGAGTATATAGAAATGGTAATGGCATGGCATGGCGTGGCAGGCATGTTATGGTATGGTATGGTAGAGTGGACAACCACTTATGTATGAGCCAGCAGTGTGCTGTAGTTGCCAAAAAAGCCAATGCAATCCTAGGATGCATCAACAGAGGGATAGTATAAAGATCATATCAAGTGTTAATACTGCTTTGTACTGCACTAGTGAGGCCACACTTGCAATACTGTATCCAGTAAGATGTTGAGACTCCAGAAAGGCTATGGGGAAGGGCAACAAAGATGATAGGGAGTCTAGACACTAAACATACAATGAACAATTGTGGGAGCTAGCGTATGTCTAGTCTAACAAAGAGAAGGACCAGGAATGACATGATAGCACTTTCCCAATATTTGAGGGGCTGTCACAGAGAAGAAGGACTCCTTCTTCTTCCCCAAAGCACCTGAGGGCAGTTCAAGAAGTAACTCATGGAAGATTATTAAAGGGAGATCCAATCTAGAATTAAGGAGAAATTTTCTGACAATGAGAACAATTATTCAGTGAGACAGCTTGTCTGCAGAATTTATGCATGCTAGAGGTTTTTAATGGAGAGAAGAAGAGATTGGACAACCATTTGTCCAAAATAATATAGTGTTGCCTGCTTCAGCAGTGGGTTGGACTATAAGACCACCACTGGGTTCCTTTGAATCCAGTTATTCTATGATCTATTATAAATTTTAGCTCATATACCTAATTTATTTCTATGCTATGTTTTCCTCTCTATATGGCCATTGCACAATAAATAGAACACAAATCTCACAGGGGATTTATCCAATTAATACCCTTGAATTTGCAGCCAAATCCCTGGATCTAATTAGTAGTGCCATCTGTTTCTGAAAGCCGTGTTAATGTATTACTATCTTCCTTGCAGGCTATTTTATATGGCAGTGTTTTATATCTTAACAATTAAGTCAGCACAATGCAATACAATGCCCAGGCTTTCATTTTTGTTTTCCTTACAGAGGAGCCTTTTCGGAAGTTTTCCTGGTGAAGCACAGAACCACTGGCAAGCTTTTTGCTTTGAAGTGCATTAAAAAGTCACCAGTCACCCAGGATAGCAACCTGGAGAATGAAATAGCTGTGCTGAAGAAGTAAGTATAGTTGGGAATGCATGACAGAGTTCAATGTTTCTTTCAGACTTCTTTAAGAAGGCTACAAGTTACTTATTTTCAATCAATTGGAAGACTAAAGACTGTCTCATCTGGCAGAAGGCTTCTCAGATGAAACATCAATATTCTTTTTCTGCTTAAAATCCACTAAAACAGTGCATCTCAATCTCATCAACTTTAAGATGTGTGGACCAGCTAACAAATGAGGGCTACTGGACATGAACCATAAATAAACTGTGCACTCAGAGGAGTATTGTACCAGAAGCTGTTTTCCTATTTAGCTAAAAAAAAAACCCACAAAATACTCCTCTTTTTTTACTATAGATAGTCCTCACTTAGCAATCACTCATTCAGCAACCTTTTGAAGTTAAAATAGTGTTGAACAAGTGGAACGTGCAACCAGTTCTCGCACTTACCATTGCAGCATCCCTGTGGCCATGTGGCCAAAATTCAGATGTTCATTGACCAGCTTGCATTTCTGGCCCTTTAGCATCCCATAGTCACGTGATCACCATTTGTGACTTTCCCTGCCAGCTTCCAACTAGCAAAGGTCAATCTGGAAGCCACATGAAGTCCTTGTTTAATGATCAATGTCTTCACTTAATGCCATAAAAATGTCATCACAAATTGTCATGATCATCACAAGTTGTCATGGTCATGCATCTCTCAGTGATAGAGTGATTAATGTCCTTAATCAAGGACTCAGGTTTTCAAGATTCATGATTATAGCCTTGAGGAGCCTGTTTTCTGGCTATAGACATCAACAATACAGATCCATTAAAAAGACACTGGATGGTGGCCTAAATTCACACTATTACTCATCAAGCAAACCACATCCATACTCTATCAACATCCCAATTCCAATGCCTGGGAAACAGGCAGATCTTCATAATTTTTGGAAAGACCAAGGTTAAGGCTATCTGTATTTTAGTGAGGAGACTACTCCCCAAACAGGCCCATGACAGAGAAAGTATATGCTCTAGAACCACTTGGTGATACTACTTCACTGATGAGACTCAAGAGTATGTCCACTCTGCCAAATCTAATGAGAAAGACAAAAACAGCAAGGATAGGGTTCATTTTATGAATTTTAATTTTTATAGTTGGAAATTGTGATTTAGGTAGATCTTCAATCTGATCCTTTAAATATATTTACGTTATTATGAATCCAGAAGAAAGAAAATGTGAGAATTTATTTTTAGAATAAAACATTTTAACAAAACTATACTAGTAAGAAATTTTACATCTTGCCGCCTTCAGATTAAGAAAGCATAAAATTTCTAAACAAGAGAAAACATGTTTTGTAATGTTCTTTTTTTCTTTCCATGAATGTATGGCAAACAGTAGTGGGGGAAATGGATCTCTTGTTATTAGAAGCTGAAATATGTGTGTGTTCCTTAAATTAAAGTACCAGAGTTCAATCTGAATGTAAAACATCTGGCACAAAGGAAGGATGAATGTTAGCTTGCTTTGTAATGATCTGTTATTCTGTCAGATCCATATTGCATTCTGTTTTTGGTTGCAGAATAAAGCATAACAACATAGTAACACTTGAGGACATTTATGAAAGCACAACTCACTATTATCTGGTAATGCAGCTGTAAGTATCAACACATACATTATGTAAGAAGCAAATGTTGCACAATTCTTCCAGTCAAGAGTCAGCTGAAAATATCTGGGTCACACTAGGTTGCAGAAAGTGGCATTAAACAGGCTGGATAAATTTGTGGGAATGTTTTTGTTTTTAATGGGAGCATTGTAAACAGCTCTGTTTTTATGCTTAAATGAAGAATGACAGCCATAGAGATATAACCCAATCTAACAATCTTTATTGTGCTATCAACACAGTCCCTCTGTGTTGTAAGTGGATAATACTTAAGTATCATATCAATTGTGTCAGATAAAGCCACAAAAATGTAAAATACTATTATAACAATTTAAATAAAAGGTTTCTAATGAATTAGACCACTTTATATTGTTGATCTGATTAATGTTGCACTGGATATCTTAGGGTTTATCGTAGTCTAACAGAAAAAGATCTAAGAGGGGTTCTGCTTTCTATTTTCTTTCTTGGGATTCTTTTTAATGGCTTTATTTTATTTATTGTTTATTAATTCAATTTATTATTATATATTTACTGTTTGTTCTTCCTGCCCTTGACTTTAAAGTACCAGAAAAGCTCAAGCAGTTGAAGATTTTCTCCCCCTCTACCTCTTCTACCCAAGTAGTTCAAATTGTTCCTCCAAAATTAATTCATCAAGTGAAATCTTGGAATTTTATAATATATTCAAGCTTTTTGCAGTCTAGTTGCAGTCTAACCCATCTAGCCTTGTGGTAAAGAAATAATATTTTCCTGGTTGGGGTGGTTCTAAAAATGCATTGCCTCAAATATGCAAATAAAGCCATGAAAGCAGTTTCTTCTTTATGTCTATAATAGTGTGTTTAGGTATTATAAAGAATAAAGAAAAATGTGATTGTTAATAACAGTATGAAAAGTATTTTTATATCAAAATTACATTCTTCCTATACTGTCTCTGACCCCCTTTATGATCATTTGTATGACCCACAAATAACCAAAATTAGAAAACCACATTGCAAATCTATTTCTTTCTCTGATAATTAATGACCAGGCTAAACTAATTAACCTGAGCAAATAATAGCACACGAACAAAAACTTTTCATGGTACAGAGTTTCCCTGGGTACACAGAGGTGGTACCAAAGCCAATACATAGGCACACATCAAAGGGGAACAGATCTACACATTCAGCAAAGTATGAGCTGAATGGCCCCCAAATTAAATATTACAGAGGGCACATTCTTTCTCTCCCTCCTTCCCTCACTCCCTCACTCCCTCACACATACACACACACACACACACACACACACACACACCATAAAAGATTCCCAGTTTCTGCATCTTTGAAGGCTTATGCTCTCAAATGAAAATGAAATTTGAAAGCATAAACCCTCAAAGGTGCAAAAACTGGGAATCTTTTATGGTGTGTGTGTGTGTGTGTGTGTGTGTGTGTGAGAGAGAGAGAGAGAGAGAGAGAGAGAGAGAGAGAGAGAGAGAGAGAGAGAGAGAGAGAAGCATGTCTGGATTTTATTCTGATTTGTTCTTGCACAATCCTGGTTTGGATTGGGAGCTCAAAAATACTTCTAACAATTTGGCAAGCCAGCTAGGAGTCTGAGACTAACCTGGCCAGAGGACGCAGCCAGGGTAAGACTTCACCCAGATGACACCAGACCATCTTGTCTGGGGATGCTGCTCCCAGACTCTGCCCACATGGCACTGCTAGTATAGGGAGTTTTGAATTTTGAACCAGACAGTTGCTTGAATGGGAAATAATCAATAAGTACCTCAATTTCTTGTGTGTGTTTGTGCCCAGGGAGAGAGAGAGAGAGAGAGAGAGAGAGAGAGAGAGAGAGAGAGAGAGAGAGAGAGAGAGAGAGTGAGTCCCTCTCTGCCTCTTTCCTCCCATTGCAGTTGGATCTTATTTCCAGTTTCATTCCCAGCTACAGCCAACCTCCTACAAGCCCCATCAAGATTTAGAAGAGAAACGAGAAGAACATGGTATCTAATTTGTAAAAAGGGATGGCCAATAGTGAATATTAAGAATTATGCAACATAACATCCGTGAGTGGGAGGATTTCTACACAGCAGACAGATGGATCCTAAACAAAAATAGCATGTCTCATTTCACTCACATTCAAAAGAGGAAAGAATTAATGAGAAAATATCTAACTTTTGTATGCTGAGCATTTAAAATGGAAAATAGGCTTGCTTGTCAGCAAAAACCAGACTGAATTGAAAGAAAATTCATGTAATGAAGATATTTCCTGCTAATTATATGCTAGTAAATTACATCAGGCAAAAAGGAATTTCTTTATATGCCAGATTTAATGAAAACAGAACCTAGCCATTTGGAGACAGGCACAAGCATTGCCTGGTCTAAGGCTTAACTGTGTTTAATCTGTCTTGTCCTGTATTGTAAGCAATCCATTTTTCTTTGCAGATCCAAGTGTGATACAGACCCAAAGGGCAGCACTTGCAGTTTATTTCTAGCTGAGGCCTTAAATTGCTTAGTGGTGAAATTGAGAATTAAAATTAAATGTGTTTATTTGTGCTATGATTTCATATGTAAATTGGGCATTATTGCATGTACTGAAGCTTTACAGCAATATTTTTTCCAACCTGAGAATTAGAAATGACCCAGCAACAGGTTCTACTTCAACAGATTATTTGTCTGGGTTTATAACTCCATTCATATTACAAACAAAGCAAGTAAGAGGTACAAAACTTCCCAGTGTTACCAGTAAATAAACCTATTTGGCATGACAACCAGGTCCCTGGTTGCGGCCTGGAATGAGGCGGCGTCCGGGGCCCTGGATCGAATTGCGCCTTTGCGACCTCTCTGTGTGGTGGTCCCCGGAGGGCGCCTTGGTTTACTGAGGAGCTCCGGGAGATGAAGCACCACAAGAGACGTCTAGAGCGACGTTGGAGGGCCAGTAACTCTGAATCTGACCGATCACTATTAAGAGCCTATCTTAGGACTTATTTAGTGGCGATAAGGGCGGCAAAGTGTGTTCACTTTTCCGCACTTATTGCGTCCGCAGAATCTCGCCCGGCCACCTTGTTTAGGGTGACCCGCTCCCTTCTTAAAGTGGAGGAGGCGGAGGAACCCTTGCAGGGGAGAGCTGAGGAGTTTGTTCAGTTTCTTTCGGACAAAATCGCTCAGATTCAGAGAGACCTGGACTCCGACTGGGCAGTGCCAGCCGAGTTGCCAGGGGCTGGTCTTAGTCATGTTATCTGGAGCGAGTTTGAGCCTGTGACCCCTGATGAAGTGGACAAGGCCGGTGAGGGCAATGAATGCCACCACCTGTTTATTGGACCCGTGTCCCTCCTGGCTGGTTTCTGCCAGTAGGGAGGTGACACGAGGCTGGCTCCAGGCGATAATCAATGCTTCCTTGATGGAGGGGTCTTTCCCGCAAGCTTTAAAGGAAGCGGTGGTGAGGCCCCTCCTCAAGAAGCCTTCCCTGGACCCAGCTGTTTTGAAGAACTTTCGTCCCATCTCCAACCTCCCCTTTGTGGGGAAGGTTGTAGAGAAGGTGGTGGCATCTCAACTCTTGCGATCCTTGGATGAAACCAATTATCTGGACCCTTTTCAATCTGGTTTCAGGCCCGGCTACAGCACTGAGACTGCTTTGGTCGCACTGACCGATGACCTCTGGCGAGCCCGGGATAGGGGTCATTCCTCTATCCTGGTGCTTCTTGACCTCTCAGCGGCTTTCGATACCATCGACCATGGAATCCTTCTGCATCGTCTCGGAGAGGTGGGGGTGGGCGGCACCATATTGCGGTGGTTCTCCTCCTACCTCTCTGACAGGTCGCAGTCGGTGTTGGCGGGCGGACAGAGATCGACCCCTAGGCGCCTCGATCATGGGGTGCCTCAGGGCTCGGTTCTGTCCCCCCTCCTTTTTAACATCTACATGAAACCGCTGGGTGAGATCATTCGGCGACACGGGGTGAGGTATCATCAGTACGCGGATGATACCCAATTATATATCTCCACCCCGTGTCCTTTCAGTGAAGCAGTCGACGTGATGTGCCGGTGCCTGGAAGATGTGAGGGTCTGGATGGGGGTGAACAGGCTTAGACTCAACCCTGACAAGACCAAGTGGCTCTGGGTCTTGCCTCCCAAAGGCCAACTGGATGGTCCATCTTTAGTCCTGGGTGGGGCAAATTTACCTCCCTCAGTGCAGACACGCAACTTGGGTGTCCTCCTGGACTCACAGCTAAATCTGGAACAACATCTATCGGCTGTGGCCAGGGGGACCTTTGCACAGGTTCGCCTAGTGCACCAGTTGCGGCCTTATTTGGACCGGGAGGCTTTACTCACAGTCACTCATGCCCTTGTCACCTCAAGACTGGATTACTGTAACGCGCTCTACATGGGGCTACCCTTGAAGAGCGTTCGGAGGCTGCAGTTGGTTCAGAACGCAGCCGCGAGAGCGATTGTGGGCGCGCCAAGGTACGCCCATGTGTCACCTATCCTCCGCGAGCTGCACTGGCTTCCTGTGGGTCTCCGGACGCAATTCAAGGTGTTGGTTATCACCTTCAAAGCCCTTCATGGCATAGGGCCAGGTTACTTACAGGACCGCATTCTGCCACACAGCTCCCAGAGACCGGTGAGGTCCCATAGATTGGGCCTCCTTCAGGTCCCGTCGGCCAGACAATGTCGGCTGGCGGGCCCTCGGGGAAGGGCCTTTTCTGTGGTGGCTCCGACCTGGTGGAATCAACTTCCCCCCGAGGTTCGAACTACTCCCACCCTGCCGGCCTTTAAGAAGGCCGTTAAAACTCTCCTGTTCCGGCAGGCCTGGGGCTGATGTCCCTGGGGGGCCGGGATATGATCAGATTTGCGGTATGACTGTTTTATTTTATTGTTTTATCATTGTTTTAACTTTGTACGCCGCCCTGAGTCCTTTGGGATTGGGCGGCATATAAATATTTGAAAATAAATAAATAAATAAATAAATAATCACCAGTGGTGGGATTCAAATATGTGAACAACCAGTTCTCTGTGGGGATGCTGCTTCCGGAAGTCCATTCTGGGCCTGGGCAGAACACCACCACTGATTAACACAGAATATGGAATAGAGAGAAGTTAAACCAATAAGCTTCTCTCTACATCAGCATATAATACAAACTGAATTTTCTTGCACAGAGTGTCTGGAGGAGAATTATTTGACCGTATTTTAGAACGAGGTGTTTACACTGAAAAGGATGCTAGTATTGTAATTCAGCAAGTCCTGGGAGCAGTGCATTATCTTCATGAAAATGGGATAGTCCATCGAGATCTAAAGGTACTTTTCTTTAATGATCTATATTTAATTATTGGTGTATTTTACCTACAAGTCATGCAAGTATCCATGAATTTGCAGTGATTTTTTAAAAATTACAACTGCCTCCTAATATGCAGAGGTGGGAAGAATATTGGCCTTAGAATACTGTGTCTTATATTATTCTTTTCTGAAAAAAATACATTTATTGCACTTTCTATTCCCCAACTTTAGACCAACTATATGCACAACAAATTAAAATTGCATACTCTGGTCTTGGTATGTCTAGATTCATTACAGCAATCTTATCTGCCAAAGAAGATTGCAAGTAGTCCTCAATTTATGGCAATTGACTCCAACATTGCCATTGCTAAGCAAGACATTGTTAAGTGAGTTTTGCCCCATTTTACAACCTTTCCTGCCACAATTATTAAATGAATCACTACTGTTAAGTGAATCTGGAGTCCCCGTTGACTTTGCTTGTCAGAAGGTTGCAAAATGTGATCACGTGATCCTGGAACACTGCAACCATCATAAATAGATGTCAGGTACCAAACACCCAAATTTTGATCCCATGAGTGCAACTATCCTAAGTGTGGAAAATGGCCATAAATCACTTTTTTTCAGTGTCGTATTGTAATTTTGAACAGTCACTAAACTAATGGATATAAATCAAAGACTACCTATATTCAGATACTGAATGTCAGATTATTAATTTTCACCTCCTTACCCATAGCCTGAAAATTTGCTCTATCTAACTCCAGAAGAGGACTCCAAAATTATGATAACAGATTTTGGTTTGTCTAAAATGGAACAGAATGGCATCATGTCTACAGCATGTGGAACTCCAGGATATGTTGGTAAATAAGAAAATGGAAATAATTTTTGAATTATAGTTTCATTAAAAATTATAATTCACAACAATTTGTTGTGAACTAAAAACAACTAAAAATAAAAGAATAAAAAAATAGAAAGTGCAGAAAAGAAAAAAAGAGAAAGAAAGGAAAGAAAAATAGAAAAGAAAGAAAAAAGTAAGAATATAGTAAGGGAAAAAAAAGAAATATATTCAGAAGGGACTCCCCTTTCATCACAAGTATGAACAATTTTATTAATTTATCATCTTTTTTAATAATACAACAAATGATCTTTTCTTCCCATATCTCATCTCTTATCTATAAATAAATGTATAAAGTCTTATCATTTAATTCCTGATGTCAGCAAAGGCCCATTAGAGGCTATGAGAAATAACAAGACCTATTTTAACTTTGTTTAAATAAATCAACTTTCTGTTCCTTCCTTTTTCTTTGAACAGCCTTGATCTTTAATCCCTTTAAATAATGCTCTAGAATTTATTTGTATATCCTTTTTAATTATTAAGACATCAGCCAGATTTTTTTTAATAAAAAGTCTTTTCCCATGTCATTTTTAAATCCACTTTTAAATCAGTTTTAATCATATCAGGTAATGCTTGTTCCTATTCCATAGCATCTTTTAAATGTAATGCATCTACTTATATTTTTTTAAGAATTCAGGACAAAAGATTTTTTTTCCCATGGGAAGGTTTCTTTATAATTAATTCCAAAACCTTATTTGAAATTTATTTGGACCTTTAGTTTCTAAAATCAAAGTTTTGTTATTTATCTCAGAGAAAAAATAAAATGCTCAAATGTCTATTTAAGTGCACCTTTTGCTAAGGTTTGAAGGAAATGTATCTGGTGCTGTAAAAAATTTTTATTAGAAAATTAAGTTTCTAATAATGAAAAGCAGTTAATGAGCAATTTCTGAAAGTGATTAGAAAAAAAAAATATGTAATCCCAGTATCCTTTTAAAGGCGCTGAATGTGGTTTGAGCAAGATTACTATTTCCTCATCTCCTAGAACTCTAAATGCACTAGAGGCTGTTCCTTTGCAGTCTCCTTGTCAGGAGTAGCTCTTTGGAGCACTTGTGGGCTACCTCAAGTCCTCTCCTTTGCCAGAATCCCATTGTATGCAACTGTATACGCACATGGAATTCTCTAAGTGATTGGGACAGATTATGAAAGAAACACTTATATTCCTTCTTCATATACAATTGTAGATGTAACATCTGTTGCAAGCATAGTAACTAATACTTAGAACCTAAACATAAGTGATCTGAAAAGCACTCACTCCATATGTTTAGACAATATCTGAAAGATCTATTGAAATCCATTGATTAAATTCTGCTTTATATAAATATGCATATGAATATACACAGAATCGAAACTATGCTATGGAGTACTGATTAAAATAAAACCTGCTCAGGATCTATAAGAGGTACAAATATATACTGTGTAAGGCTATGTCAATATTTATTTATTTATTTATTTATGAGACTTATATACCGCTTTAAGTGCAAGCACTCTCTAAGCGGTGTACACCAGTAAGCAATGTATATATATATATTTACATTGCCCCCAACAATCTGGGTCCTCAAATATATTACAATTTGAACAAATATCACATTGCCCTACATTCCATAGCTAATCTGTGATATATATGTGTATATCCTATATTATCCTCCTCAGCCTTCCAGAATAAATACCTTGTGTCATTGCTTATGTCAAGCATGCTATTTTTCTTTGTTTTGTACCCTGCTACACTGAAAGAATTCTGGAGCTAATATAGAGTTGGTTAATTTTTCAAAGATCAGTTGGTCATATTACTGGTAATTTGGGTTTTGTTATTTGTTCACTGCAGCTCCAGAAGTATTAGAACAAAAGCCATACACTAAAGCTGTGGATTGCTGGTCAATTGGAGTTATTACCTACATCCTGTAAGATAATCTGTGAACTGAATTACAGCAAACTTGCTAATGTCCTTCAAAAGTTTTATAGTATGTAGTCCATAGAAAAGGTATATTAACAGCATGCTAAACCCAGATAAAAAGTAGAAAGCATTAACCAATAGTGGCCTATTAAGAGCCAAAAGAAAACAATGATAATTCTTCACTGTATTTTAATATACTTGGTTGCATATTTTTGTAACACATTTTATAAAGTTTATGGTCTCTTAGGGGTGATAGGAAGGGAGAGACACCTTTTCTAGCTGCAGTTGACCCACCAGTTTTGGCCATTTCTGGATGGGGAATTGTCCAGGCAGAGCAATCCATGTGCTGGTAACCTTAAAGCTGAATTATTACAGGCTAGTCTTATTAGGTCTATCCTTAAATCTGTGCCTGCTGTAAAATGCTGGTTACTACATGGAGACCAACGGTGGTTGTTTCTATACCAAGTCAGAATCTACCATAATTTTTAATAATGTTTAGAAGCTGGATTTCTGTTAGAGCATCTTCTGCCTTATGTGATTCTTGGAATTAATTTAGTGTTGATACCACAACCTCAGAGAAGGTATTCTTGGCATATATATTACAACAATGGAATTCCGCATCCTATCCCCACTTCCCCAGGTTCAGTGTTTAGCCCTGCAAATTTTCAGTACAAACTGAAGACCTATCTACTGTACATGTTCAGGTCTTTGGTTAATACTGTGTTGTTGTGGTTCCTATTTGTCATAATTTTTCTGATTGATGCACCTTATGATGATTTTTTAAAAACTGATTTAAAATATAGGAATTTTGGAAGGTTTCCTTCTATGAAAAAAATTCTATTATAAGTTCCTCCTTCACTATTAACTAGATAAACCTGTTTATTTATAATTTATTTTTTTCCTTCCTAGCTTTTTTCCGCTAGTGTAGAGTCTGCTTTTTTTTCTGGATCAACCAAGTGTTGATCACCCAAATTCACCCAAGCTGGCTTTCATGCCTAAGGCTGGATTAGAACTCAGGGTTTCCTGGTTTTTAGCCTGATACCTTAACCACTAGAACAAACTCATTCTTCCATTTATAATCCAATATATTATAAATATTTATAGATGGATGTGGGTGGGGGAGAAACACAAACAGACTAATCTATCTTTGGCCTATTTATTTCTTTGTTTTGTTTATGTCTGCATAGTGACAGCACTCAAATAACCTTGTAAGAGAATTATGCAATCTAAGAAACTGTCACAGGCAATACATCAGGAATATGTACCCATGGCTGCAATAAACTTTGTTAATTTGGTGAACTACTCAAGTTAACTGATTATAGCAGCTGCACCAACATGAAATTTGAACAGAAAGGGCCTGGAAGGAAAATTCAGGAACACTGGCTGGGTTTTTTTCTTTTTTTCTTTCTTTCTTTCTTTCTTTCTTTCTTTCTTTCTTTCTTTCTTTCTTTCTTTCCTTCCTTCCTTCCTTCCTTCCTTCCTTTCTTCCTTCTTTCTTTCTTTCTTTCTTTCTTTCTCTTTCTTTCTCTTTCTTTCTTTCTCTTTTTTTCACAAGTATATCAGCTTTCTCTGGCTGAGAGTTTTCACCCTCATCATTGACTAAAACTCCCATCAGTTCCGCCTAGATGAGAATAACCCATTAAAGTTTGAAAGCATTAGTCTGAAGATATCTGTTCCAATGATTTATTCTAATTTAAGATGAACACTGAATTTGGCTTAATACTAAGGTGCCATCTATACAGGTTTTATACATGATATTCAAATCTTCTCTCTTCTCTGGATCATAATTATGTTTGGGTAGAAACTTGCTTGTTCCATTGGCAACTGACATCCAATATAATCTCCTGGAACCTCTCATCCTCTTTTATAATTTTGGACTATAGCTACAATGAGCTATGTATAGTTCACAATTGCCCTATGTTAGATATCTATCAAATGATCAATCAATCAATCAGAGTAGAACTGGAAAGAACCTTGGAGGTCTTCAGTCTTTTGAACTTACACTACTTTGAATTTACACTCAAAAATTCAATCTTTTTGAATTTACACAGAAAAAGAATATAAATGTCTTTTGTCTTTTTCTCTCTCTTTTCCAAATTAATTTAGCCTATGTGGATACCCTCCTTTCTATGAAGAAACAGAGTCCAAATTGTTTGAGAAAATCAAAGAAGGATTCTTCGAATTTGACTCTCCATTTTGGGATGATATCTCTGAATCAGGTATTTTTAAGCCTGGGAAAAATCTCTGCTAGAATTGTCTTTCATTTCTGAATTCCTACACAGATGAGTACATAATTAGGCAACTACTCAGTAGTCAAGAGCTTTTTTTAAAGTATGTGTTCACTAATTTGGGGAAACTGCTCTGATTCCTGGAACTGCTCTGCCATGTTTTTGATAGATGTGTATGCACATGTCTGAGTGGGAGACAAAAGCTGTTGCAAGCATGTGCAAGGTGTTCTGTGATGCTGTATCCCATTGAAGCATTTGAAGGTGCAGATGTTCTTTCAGAACCTGTAGCACAATTAATCATGTTGATTATTAGATGCCTCCTTGTTTCTAATGCTTGAATAATTGCAAATGAATTGATACAATGAATCATAAGCATGCCTTCTTTTTCGAGGAAACAGTTTGGTAAAGAAGATTCTAATAATGTACACCTCTTTTGGAACTCATTGCCATTTTTTTATATTGGCTAGAGGTGCATGTCATCAGTTTAATCCCTATTACTCAAACCTAATGTTCTGGCAAATTGATTTTGGCTTCTGGCTTTTGTGCTAAAGCCTTTTTCTCTGTTTCCTTCTCTTTTCATTCCTTTTAAACAGCCAAAGATTTCATTTCTCATTTACTCGAGAAGGATCCAAATAAGAGATTTACCTGTGAGAAAGCCTTCAGGCATCCCTGGTGAGATGAATAATATTATTGCATTTTTTTTAAAAAAAATGTGCACTTCTGTGATATAGTAAGAAATTTTATAATTGTATTCACATGGAATTAGCAGTGGATCATAAAATGTAATTGACTTCTCTAATATTTTTGTTTGAGTTAACTAGTATGGAGGACAATGTAGACAGGAAGCTATTATATACCTTAGATCAGGGGTGTCAAAGTGCCAGCCTGTGGGCCAGATGTGTCACACAGAAGCTGCGCCCACCCCTGCTCTGGCAATGGGAAAAAATTGTGATACGCTGCAACATGTCACATGATATGGTAAGTTTGACACCCCTGCCTTAGACTTCAGGGGTCTTTGATTTCAAAAGCGCTGATTTCAACCAACTTAGAGAGAGCTTGGGAAGGATTCCATGAATGAAAATATTAAAGGGGAAAACAACTCAAGAAACTTGGGAAACTCTGAAAATGTGATTATAAAAGCCCAGTCCAGCACAATACCACAGAAAAAGAAAAATATGAAATCCAAGAAGAAACCAGCATGGTTGCATAAAGAACTCTCTGATAAACTGAAAGACAAAAAGGACAAAGCTAAAACTCAGAATTAACTAAGACTTGTAACAAATAGAAAAAACAATTAAAAGTTTTTTCAACATGTAAAAAACAAGAAAAAAGTCAAAGAAACAATCAGTCCATTAATGGGAGAAGATGGCAAAAAAGGGACAGGCAGCAGGGAGAAAGCAGAGCTACTTAATTGATTCTTTGCAACTGTCTTCACACAAAATGAAAAAATAACCCAACCTACCAAAAGCAGAACCATAAAAGACAGACTAGGAATTCAAATTAAATTAGGCAAGAAAATAGTAAGACAGCGTCTATTCATCCTAGACAGGTTCAAATCACCAGGACCAGATGGATTACATCCCAGAGTTCTGAAGGAGCTGGCAGAAGTGATCTCGGAACCATTGCACCATCTCTTTAAAAATTTATGAAGCAATGGAGAACTACCAGAGGACTGGAAAAGAGCTAATATGGTTCCCATCTTCAAAAAGGGGGAAATGGACCAATCAGCCTGACATCTATACCTGGGAAGATCCTGAAAAAGATAATCAAGCAATAGATCTGTGAATACCTAGAAGCAAGCAAAGTCATAACCAGAAGCCAACATGGGTTTGTCAAAAAAGATCATGCCAAACAAATTATCCTTTGACAAAGTAACTAAATTAGTGGACCAGCAAAATGCCATAGACATAGTAAACTTGGATTTTAGTAAGGCATTTGACAAAGTAGATCACAACCTACTTCTTGGTAAGTTAGAAAAAAGTGGGATAGATAGCATCACTACTAGATGGTTTGATAATGGGCTGACAAACTTAACTCAACATATAATCCTCAATGGAATAACATTTACATGGAGGGAAGTATGCAGTGAGGTATCCCAAGATTTTGTCTTTGCCCCAGGGATTTTCAAAATCTTCATAAATGATTTAGATGAGGGATAGAAGGGGAACTCATCAAATTTGCAAATGACACAAGCTGGCAGAAATAGCCAACACCCCAGAAGACAGACTCAAGATGCAAAAGGATCTTGACAGACTTGAACATTGGATTCTAGCTATCAAAATGAAATTCAATGGTGACAAAAGTAAGGTTTTACACTTAGGCAAGAAAAATGAAATGCACAGGTATAAAGTAGGTGGTACCTGGTTAAACAGCAGTAACTGCAAGAGGATCTAGAAATCCTAGTGGACAATCACTTAAATATGAGCCAGCAGTGCGCTACAGCCACCCAAAAAGCCAATGCAGTCCTAGGCTGCATTAACAGAGGGATAGAATCAAGATCATGTGAAGTGTTAATACCACTTTATAATGCCTTAATAAGATTGTACTTGGAATATTTCATCCAGTTTTGGTTGCCACAATATAAAAAATATGTTGAGACTCTAGAAAATGTGCAGAGAACAGCAACAAAGATGATTAGGGGACTGGAGGTTAAAACATATGAAGAATGGTTGCAGGAATTGGGTATGTCTAGTCCAATGAAAAGAAGGACTAGGGATGACATGATAGCAGTGTTCTAATATCTGAAGGGCTGCCATAAAGAAGAAGGGGTCAAGCTATTCTCCAAAGCACCTAAAGACAGGACAAGAAGCAATGGATGGAAACTTATCAAGGACAAAATCAGCCTAAAACTAAGGAGAAATTTCCTGATGTAAGAACAATTAACTAGTAGAACAGCTTGCCTCCAGAAGCAGAATGGTGGCTGCTCCATTATTGAAGATTTTTAAGAAGAGATTGGACAGCCATTTGTTGAAATGTATAAGGTCTCCTGATTGAGCAGGGGGTTGAACTAGAAGACTTCCAAGGTCCCTTACAACTCTGTTATTCTGTTATACGCCTTTACTAAAATTACATGTAAGCAATGACATAGCACTAAGTGATGATTCCCTACTCATTCTGGACAGCCAAAATAATTCAGTTAATTAATGTTTATTTTAAAAATAGTAAATAGAACTTCTGGATGTTATAATAGATCTTCTCAGTCTTAGCAAGTTGAATAATATGACAGACTTCACTCATGACTGAAAAGATAAGTGAAATAGAAAGTAGAAAGAAAAATGGGCTTTGACATGTTCTGAGTCACCAAAGGGTAGTCACAGAAAAAGAACATTCTACACAAAGCTGAGAAGGAGATCCATTAGGTTTAATATTAAATAACATAGGCAATAACCATATAATACATACAAGTAAGTTTTCTTCAGAATCTTGGCTCAAACAGTTCTGGAAGAGTCAGCCTATACAAAAGCAAAAACTTTGAAAAGAAACTTGCATCTGGCATAGTAACTGTCCTTGGAACTGTGCAAAGCTTCAGAGGGGTGGCCACTTTAGCAATGCTTTGAATGTTTCAGTTTTACAAAGTAGAACAGTCTATTCCAAGGGTCTTCAAACTTGGCCCTTCTTATGACTTGTGGATTTCAACTCCCAGAATGCCTGGCTGAGGAATTCTGGGAGTTGAAGTCCACAAGTCATAAAAGGGCCAAGTTTGAAGATCCCCTGGTCTACTAACAGCAAAATACTTATTTTACTTTGCCTTATTTTTGAGCTTTCCCTACCTCCCAATAATGCATGCAAAAATCTCTGCTTATTCCTGGAACTGCAGGGGAAGACTTCAAAGTGATATTAATCACCTTATCAACCCAGTTGTCTCTGCAGTGCAGACAAAACTATGTTCCCTTTGCAGTACCTTGTTGAGACAAACCCAAACCACTCATACACAGAAAGAAATCATCTAGAAGTTACAAGAATGCAAAATGTATCACTCAAAAACACCATCTGTCTACAGGCCTGTTCTCCTCTTACTTAATTTGCAGGATTGATGGAAACACAGCCCTCCACTGTGACATATATCCATCTGTCAGTGTACAGATCCAAAAAAATTTTGCAAAAAGCAAGTGGAAGGTAAGTAACTTGATGTTGTTTTATGCTCTGGTGGTCTTCTACCAGGAGCATGGAGATAAAATTTCCATTAGAACTTCTCAGTCCAAAAATCCCATAAAATAATACTACCCAGGTAGCTAAGGGTTTAATATATTTTTGGGTGAGTCATATGGTACAAAGTATAAAATGAATTTCATCAGTAAATATAGAAATATTTGGCAACTTGTTATAAAAAGAGTTATCTGAAGGGTTATATAAGAGTTGTTATGGAAAGGGGGCTAAAAGTTAAAGCTGACAGCCTGGGTTCAAACCTAAGCATCTCGCAATGGAGTGAGGTCCAGTTTCTTGCCCCAGGTCTTACCCACCTAGCAGTATTAAAACATGCAAATAGGTAATGGGTATCATTTTGGTGGGAAGAACAGCATTCTGTGCACCTTTGCCATATAGCCTTGCTGGACACATGACCATAGAAAATGTCATCAGACAATGCTGGGGTTCTTCAGCCAAGAAACAAATATGAATACCTGCCCTCCAGACATGACTGGACAAAGGAAACCTTTACCTTTTATATAAAGGGTAGTAAAGACAAAGGGTTGCCATCAATTTCAAAAGACCCATTTCCCTTGAAAAAATTATGACATCTTCACTACAAAATTTAGACTGCAGAAATGGGTGGATGGAGGACCGTGGATGCTTGTTTCTTTTTTCCTTTTTCAGTTTTTTCTTTTTTAGGGATAAGGTTCTTATTACATATTATTTCTTTAACATATTGTGAGTTACCCAGAGTCTTTTGGATTTGGATAGCTTCATACAGATGATTGATAAAGATGATAGATATAAATAAGTTTTAGATCACTTACTAGGAAGTAAGCTCTATTGAACATAGGATTGTTTGCTTTCAGACGATTTTACATAGAATTGCACTGTATGTATTCCAAGTTCTTTGGTAAATTTTTGTTGCAGGGGCAGACAAATATTTTGTAACTGAGTTTGCAAGCTTTTAAACATTTATTTCAACTGCCATGGGCCTCAGGGAGCATTGTGATGTCATGATGACATCAACAGATTCCATATAACATTTTTAAGCTCATTTTTTCCTCTTGAGAATAGTGAAAAGCTGATTTTAGCTGTACCATGTCAGAGTAGATTCTAAATTCCTATCCAGACACTCTTCCACAAGAAATGTAACAACAATAAAATATAGGCCTGAATTACCATACCTTGGTCAAATTTCAAAACTCTCTAAATGGTCAGACAGAAAAAAGTATAGAGCTGCTTATAGTTTGTGTTCCATGGTTTGTCTACCTTTGTTTTATTGTACATGGTTCTCAAGCCATTCATACCATATTCAGATAAATACAGCATCAGCTAAGTTTCCTCCTTACTTTTTATCTATAGTGCATGGAATACTAGTGAGATCATAAGAATTTGAGGCCTGCTTCCAATATCTCCCTAGGTAAATTTTCAGCAGCAGCTTATGAACATACTCAGCATTCTTCAATCTGGTTTTTTAGAGAACTACAGTTATATAATTCTGATAACGCTATCATCTTCTCCTTTACTAGCAAGCCTTCAATGCTGCAGCTGTGGTCCATCATATGAAGAAACTACACATGAATGGTCATCATGCAGAGGACAATGTCAAAAGCCAAGTACAAGTACAAATTACATCAAGGCCTAAGACATCATCTGTTATTTACAAGGAACAATCAAGTCAAGACACCAAGAATTTGATCCCTGTATTATCCTATCAGAATACTTCAGATCTTGCTGGCTTGCGTGCCAAGAAGACAGAAAGCAAATATTTAGATAATCTGGGGACCACATCAGTTCATATGACTTCTGTAACTGCAATAGACAGCCAGAGCCATCCAAGCAGACCTTCAGTTAGCAGTACTCCAGAATGTGTGACATGTGAGAAAGTGAAGACAACTTTTTGCTCAGAAGCAGTACTCATAAAAAGAGATGCCAAGACACAGTAAGTGTCCTTTGGGATGACCAGACTAAAATTTCTGATTACCAGGTAGAGATTTCAGTAGCTTTCCCAATCTGCTATTTCTAGTTGTTGGCTACACAATCTAGATATCATAGTAATTGGGGTGTCAGTGTATTTGAACATTTGGCAAACATTTGAAAAAGTTGGTGTAAGTAATGTGGCATCTTGGTCACAGGAAAGGAGATGAAAAGCAAAAATTGAGGAATATGGATGGTTCAGAAATAGATGATGATAGACAGACAGACAGACAGATAGATAGATGTGGATTAGGGAGCATAGCAATTTCTATTTCACTTATTTTGAAATGCATAAATTTCCTTTACTCTATTTGTTCAAGTAATAATAACAAAAACAACTAAATGAAAATCAGGAACAAAGAACATAATGAAATGATAATACCATAGTATAAAAATACAATTTTTAATAATGAAAAGTAAGAAACATCATTATGGACCAATTATTTTTAGATTAAAAATCTCTGGCCACTAAATATTAGCTAGAATTTATGGAAAGTAACTGACCAATTGAATCTGAAAGCATGATCTAAAATGAACTATGTTGATAGTGTATGATTATTTCATAACTGTGATTATTTGAAGTTCTATGGTTGCATTCATCAATTCAATGACAGTTGTATAATGATTTTATCTGTCTACATGAAAATGTCAGCATGGAAGAAGTATGGTCTGAATATACATCTTGCTCCATAATGTGAAACCTTCACAGTATACATATAGCATCACTGCATGCATATGATATGCAGGTTCTGAGGTTTTGCTTGATAAAAAAATACAGGAAACCAGAAGTTGCCTTTAAGCTTTATGTTTTATTCAGCTGAACAAAGTTGGGCTCCTCTAAAGGAGAGAGGCCCCGAATGACAAGGAATCCTTGTATTTATTCTTTCTGATTACATAAGCAATCCACCCAGCAAAGCTGACACACATAAGATAAAGATTTCACCCAGTAACTCTGGCACATTGTAGATAAGAAGGGAGAAAGCAGAAGTAGCTAAAAATGTTCCCTTTTGGGTGTTTCCCTAAGACATCATACGTTCCCGGGTGGGTTAGGACATTGGGTGTTTTCCTTGCTGTCCTTTCATGACCCTGCATCCATGACTCTGCAAGTGCCAAAAGACAGCAGGGCCATCTGTACATATTCACAATTGATACTGTCCCCCAAGTCCGGGTCATCACATACTGGAGGAAGATTCAGAATAGAACATCAAATAGATGAGTACTGTAATGCCATTTATACTGCATTAATCCTGTTGAATTCCCCTGAGCAGAATAGATATGCATCTTATGAAGTGGATGGTAGTTTGCATCACCTTTCTAAGCCACTAGTTAGATCATGTACATAGAGGTTACAGTATATATAGTGTGTGTGTGTGCGTGCGCGTGCGCGCACGCTGTATGTTATCCATTACCTGTTATCAGACAATAATGCATCTTACACTAATTGAAAAAAAAAACAGTTTTTTACTTTGTTTTCTTTTCAATCTTTTCTTTCAAAATCAGTCACTTCAACTCAGAAGTCCTGGTTCCAGTCAAAGCCACTAATCACACCTATTTTGGTAGTGGGCAAACTGGTGTTTGCTTGGTAATGTGATTGAAAAAACTGCCATAAGGATAAAACATATACCTTTACAGGTAAGTGTATACATAAAATTCACATTCACATTCACTTTTCTAGCAAAAAATAGCAAAGCATTTAAATGCTGCTACCATTTCATGATCTCCCAGTTATGCTGAGTGCAGAGCAAGGAAATGTCTTTACTCTCATGTCAGCAGGTTTGTTCATGAAAAAGGTGCACCCCAGCATTCAATAGGGAGATGTCATGACTACTTTGCCCAAGCTGGCAGAATAGGGAGGCAGGAAAAACCAAACTTTAATGATCAGCTTGCTTTACAGATACCCTGAGACCATATACTTTTGCAGAAAGGTACACTGTACCAAAAGATGTACGTCTCACTACCTCAAACTATATTCATAGTTTCATTTAAATGAGAGATCAATATATATAACCCTAACCCTATTCTCATATATATTTCCCAATGAGTCTCTAATTGCTCCAAAACCATAATACCTTTTTCTTTATCATTAATACACCTCTTCTAAAATGGAGGGTGTATTTTTTTCCCCAAGCTGTGAAGATGCTCTCTCTCTCTCTCCAATGATACACATTTCTATATACTAAGGAACATCTTAGTAATCTTCATAATAAAAAAAAACAATCAACCAAAGGCCATGTCAGACTCAAAAACCAAGAATGACACATGGTGATTCTTCCAAGCTGAGTTCTTTATTGTTTCCACACCTATAGATAGAATTTTACCAGATTAAACACTCTACTGCAGGGGTCCCTTTATGGTCACTTTATGGCTTGTGGACTTCAACTTCCAGAAGGCTGAGGAATTCTGGGAGTTGAAGTCCACAAGTCATAAAGTGGCCAAGAGTGGGGACCCCTGCTCTACTGTCTTCACCCTCTTTCTCTCACACAAAATATCTGAAATATTTATTTCACTGGAATTCACCCCTTCCCTCCTTGAAATCCAGCTTGCTACATTCCATCACAGGCCATAAGATTATCTAGGATGTGCTTTCTTCCAGATGGCTACTATGAACTGACAAATTGTTATTTTCCCATTATTTAATCATATTTTATATTATATATTGTTTTTGCCACTTATAATCTCAATATTAAGAATGTTTATATATAGATGTTACTATTTTACTATCATATTGTATTAGCAACACTAGCTTTTAGATATCTTTTATAGATTTCACCAAAATAATGGTAATTTTTATTGATGTTATTGTTTGCTCTTCTATAACCCAATGAAATATAAGTTAAAAAAAGAAATGGATTTTTATGAGATTTTGTAATTATCATTTTAATAACAGCATAAATAAGTATAGCAACTCTGCTAATCAGTTTAGTTTAATAAGCAAATGAAAACAGATGCTTGAACCTTCAGTTGGAAATTATTATACTTTGCACAACACTATATAGTTTTTGCCAACTTAGTTCAGTATCTGTTAGGTAAGAATGACAAATCTCTACAAATCTTTTTTTCAAAAGAAACCAAGATTTCCTGGAAAACGTTTTTCCAATAAAATGCACATCAAATGAATTCTACTTTTCACTCTCTTTTCAGAAGGGCTGCTTGATACTCCTATTGAAAACTTACAAGTCAAATATCAACCGTGCAGAAAGGGAAGGCCTGTCTTGAACGATGCCATGGAGAACTGTGTTCCTAGATGCCCACATCTGATATTTTCTTTAAAGCACATCCATAGAACTGAGAGTTCATATGATTGAATTATATGAATTAAGAGGATTGTTTCATATAAACTGGAAAACAATTTTTAAAGAAAGGTTCTGTAATCAGTGGATAAACATGATCAAACTGTTGGGATACATGTTTGTACATCTGTGCTTGTTCAGTAGAATAAAGAGCAATTGCAAGGTGTGCAGTGTTATTTTTGCATTGAGTCCCTTAGAGCACTTGGCCGAAGCAGAAAATATCCCATGCTGGCTTACTTGTGGCCCTTTAATTCATGATACAGAAGCAATTTGCTAAGAATGCTTGTTGACATTGCCATTTGTTCCAGCACAGTTTGCATGAATTGATTCTACAGGAAGGAAGGGAGCACCATCTCTACTTCATTCATTAATTTCTACTTGTCAGTTCTGGAATAGTACACGTAATATACATTGTTCAATAAAGTTTGTTGGTTCTTAAATGCCTGATAGTTATTTATTGATAGACTAATACAGGTCACCAATCTCTTAGTGTCAGATTTATTTCTTGCAGTAGTTTATCTGCAAACAGCTATTTTACATTACTAAAAATAACTAGTAGTGGACAAAAAATAAAAAGTCTTACAATAGGCTATGAGATCTAAGAAACAGACACCATTATTTATTTATATTGCTTTCTTAATCTTGCTAGAATCCAGATTTTGCTTGGATAGAATTTATGCAAAAGTACATCTGCCATTTTTTTAAAAAATATGCTATCAGAACATCTGAATTCAAGAGGTTAATTTTAAATATAAGGGAGTCTTGGAGCGCTACAAGAAATAAATTAGTACATCCACTTCTTTTTTTTTCTAAAGCTTGACCTATAGCAATGTTTCAAAGCTAGCTTTTTAAATAAAAGCAGAAACTGTTCTAATCTGTGCAACTGGCATAATATGCAACTCGTTGACTGATATGATCACGAATTGTTTCCACTTTCTTTTCCAGACCTTCCAGCCTGGCTGACTTGAGGATGAATTCATTGTTACTCTCCTGTAGCTCTGTTTCTAAAGCTGAGGAATGAAACAGAAATAGGTTAGATGCAAAGAAACTTTTTTCCCTTTCTAATTCATTATAATATTATATAGTGACCGTTCAACCTGTTCTGTTTTTCTAGCATCTTTTAACATGTATTGTTTTCATGCAATGCCTGTCCTGTGCAATAGGGCAGAACTTCTCAAACTTTCTGGGTTGGTGGCCTGGAGAGAAAGGGAGAAGCAGGGAAATGTACACGTGTGTGTGCATGCGCATACAAACACGCACAAACACTGGCAGCGGCATTACCACCGTGCATGCACAAACGGGGGCACTAGCACCCACACAGTGATGCTAACACAAGTAGGGGGAAGGTGCATGCACATGTGCGTGCACTTGCCAGCCATTCCACGGACCAGTGGCCATAGGCCACAGACCGGTACCAGACCACAGACCACAGGTTGGGGGACTACTGCAATAGGGCACCCCATATGCAAAAACTATGGGCTGCACATGCTTGCCCCCTCCCTCTTATCCTTTGTGGATCTGTTCTACCACTTCAGTCCCTAACTAACCTGTATTGAATGTTAAATGAAAATATTTGTCTGAAAGACAGTGAAATTCTATGAATAGGCTATGCTGCTTAGTTTTCTGATTTTGCAGAATTTTGCTCAAACTCAAATGAGCAAAAGAAGAACATACCAGAACAGAATATTTGTAACTCAGAGTTGAACTGTGGGGTCCTTGGCGTTCTCTGAGCTTGGTTGTTTTCTTGTAGACATTTCATTACCAAATTAGGTAATGTCATCAGTGCAAGAAAGGAGTGGGGTTCGCTCTCTTTATATACTAGTGGCTTGCCTGTCAGTGTTGGGAGAGTTCTTGGTAGTTCCTTGCTTAGGCTGTTGTTTATGGTTAGCTTATTTGTCTCAGTTGATAATTCCTTGATTGCAGTGTTGTTTACTTATTGATTGTTGGTCTAGTGTTAATCTTGCTATTAACATCTAGATAAACTGAGATTACTCAACCAATTTATTATAAGTATTTACACAGTAAATTCCCTACATAGCAGTATCTATTGTTTTATGAAGGGAAATAATTGTCCCTAGCTCCATTTCCATCTTACATGCCATATTTTTCTTACCCATAACAGTAACTAGAAAGAAATTCATTCTGCTTCCCTAAACGATTGGCAGAACTTGACCCAACATTAAGGAACTGCTGTCTGTCACATAGCATCCAAAATCAGTTTTGCCTTTCTGTCTGAAAAAGCCTCGCCTCCTTCTGGTAGGGCCAAATGAATGTGGACATTGACGTCAGCCAGCACTGGTAAATGTATGCTCATCATGTTTTGCATGAGAAATTGTCTGGTGGCCTATTTAATAATATCAACATTCCTCATTGCATTCAGCCAACTCTGAATAAATGCCTCTCATCAGCCAGCTGCTAAATCTCTGGCTTTTGGGAGGCACCTTCAATGAAAGACATTCATTAGAGGCACAAGTTTATCAATGAAAACAGTAACACTCCTTTAAAAAATAATATCTCTGGCTTTCAGCCACTTAGTTATTCATATTTCACCTGCCACAGAAGTCAGAGCATTTTGTCTACACACTGGCTGTTTCCCAAAACATATTGAGCAAAGTTATTAGATCTGAAAGGTTTAAACTGAAGGGTCAAAATAGAGCATTAAAAAAAATTGGCTCGGCAAGCCATTATTATGGAACAAATCTGTGACTGGCTGTGTAACAGAGTATTTATATTCTTCCTGAGTGTCCATTCCATTAAAAGGACAAGTTGAAATGCCTCATAGGATTTGCTATAGTAGCTTTTCATCTCTATCTCTATAAAATCCTGTGGCTTACTTAGACCAACAATGATGTATCCAGATTTAAATGTGAAAAGTACATCCACATTTTGTTTAACATATACTTGGTATGAAATCATTAGATTAAACAAAATTATTATGCATGAAACTGCAATATTATATATGAAATTACTAAGATTCAGAGAAGGACCTTTGTGTTTGATATTATTTTTAAAATCTGCAATCCTGTATGAAATGCCAAGGCAATGAAGGTAAGAATTGTGAAGTCATTTCTGATTTTGAGAGTTGCTATGCAGGTAATCCTTACCAGCCATTTTGGCCATCATATTCAAGGCTTCATTCAACAATGTGTTGGCCTCTGTGTGGGCAGTTTGAATTCGGTCACCTTGAATGCCTAAATTTGACCCTTGTCCCATTCGTCTCTTCAGGTCAATGTATTTGCCATTCAATTGTTCAAATACCTGGGGGGGGAGGGGAGCAGAGAAGTAAATGAAAACTAGTCATACTTCCAATGGATATATTGTGTAGATAACATCAGAATTCCCATCTTCAAACCTGAGATCACATGATGTTAGATGGCCTCCTACATAATCAGTGTTCCATTTATAAGTGTATCAGATTATTAAACATCACTTTTCTCTCTTGCCTATTCCTCTTCTTCTTTAAAAAGTGGTAATTCTTTTTCACATCAGTTTTCTGATTTCTCCTGGCTGCACAGAACACACCTTCTTTTCACTGTGATATATTCCAGTTTGTCCACTTTGAAGAGTTTCTTTTTCCCTCCCATTCCCAAGCCAAATTCATGCATCTTTTATATAACTACACTGAACAAGTTTTGTTTGTTCTTCAATAGTCAATTGTTTTATTGAATATAACCAAACAAAGCTTGATAAGGCAGATTTCCTTATTAACCATTTTTATTTGCAAAGTATTCCTATGAGACCTATGATATTCCTCTGGGTATGACTGGAAATAATGAGAAGCCAAAGGCTCTTAATTTCCCTTGTAGCATCCTATCTTTCCTTCTTTTATAATTAAAAGTCTTGGTGGCACATTGTTATCCCAGGGTGTCATGTTGGAGAATCAGGTTAAATTATAGTTATAATGAACAAATTCTGTTTGTTCTTCAATATCAATTGTTTAAGTCTATAATTAAACAAAGCTTGGCAAGGCAGTTTGTCCTTGTACTGAAGAACAAATAAAACAAGGAGTAAGAGAGATAGTAAGAAGCAATTTCAGTTTGTCCTTTGCTGAATGAATATGTAATGGCTGGTCATGTGACTCTGTGATGGCCATTCTCTGAGAATGTACAGTATATGTTCTAATTATGCAGAATGGCATTGTTGTCCTAAAATGGCTGGGGACTTTTCCATTAGAGTGAATAGCCAATTTTATTGATGGGTCTAATGGCTGAACAGAGACAGGAGATCAGAATATTTACCAGGTATTTTCCCCAAAGGCTACCTGACCAATACCGTAGCTTAAAGCATGCAACCCACTAAAATAATTTCCTATTTCCATAATGCCAGGTCTGCCAGGCTCAGCTTGAACCCTCACAGGCATCCTGCCATTAAAGGCTACAAGGGAGAGGGGAGGAAGGATAGATGGGTAATAAGTCTCTCTCTCTCTCTCTCTCTCTCTCTCTCTCTCTCTCTCTCTCTCTCTCTCTCTCTCTCTCTCTCTGTGTGTGTGTGTGTGTGTGTGTGATGGGAAATGGGGGGGGGGGAAATGACAGGTGATAAAGATCAGAGAAGTTCGGAGTTAGTTTGTAGGAATCCAAGGCCAGCCACCCAGAGAAAGAATGTTGATTACCCCAAAACATCTCAGTGTTCTCAAAACACTTGGGCAAGTTCCAATTGGCTAAAGACAGACTGGTCACGGGGGGGGGGATAACAGAAACCGAGAACCAGACTGTCTTTACTGCAGCCAACTCCTTTTTAGTAAAAGAACCTTTCACTTCAACCAAATGGGTCTTCCTTTCCTACAGAATCAGATTGGGGCAGATCTAACACATACCTGCTGAGTGCTTTTTGCTTGTTTATGAGCTTCTGTTGCTTGTTGCTGAGCATCTGCGGCCAATACCTGATTCTGGTTTGCCTTGTGCTGTAGCTGGACAAGTGTCTCAGTGAAACTATCCAGTTGATTGGTGATGTCCCGCACATTCACCTGAGTTGGAGTGAGGATAGTCTGGATCTGAACATTCAAAAAAATTCAGAAATTTTATAAATATCCCTGAAAAAAAAATACCGGTTACATAAACAAGGAATATTTTATGAAGGTAATAAAGTAATCAGTTATGAAAACCACTATTCTAGGAAACAATGGAGGTTTATCAATATGAAAGGAGAGCAGGCTGGTTTAGAGTGAACAACTTAGAGCAGTGGTTCTCAACCTTTTTAATGCCGCGACCCCCAACCGGTCGTAAGTCAAAGACTACTGAACCGGTCATAAGTCGAGGACTACTCAACTGGTGCAGCACCGTTTGCAGAATGGGACTTTTGGCGGGCTCAGCAGGGCAGAGACAGCCTGGACAATTCCTATTGGCTTTTGAAAGCCAATAGAATTAGACTCTATTCAAGAGAGTCTATTCTATTGGCTTTCAAAAGCCAATAGAATAAAAGGAAGTAGCACAGCTAAGAAAAAGGGGAAAAAATGGCGGTCTGCGTTGTTTGGCGACGCCCGTGAAATGGTTATTCGACCCCAAATGGGTTCCCGACCCACAGGTTGAGAACCACTGACTTAGAGAGATGTTCAATATCAGAATCTAAGCACAAATCACTTACTTCATCAAGGCGAGTTTGGATACGCTGAAGGGGAAAAGTAGAGTCATGAATAGTAAGTTCAGCTTCTTGAAGTGCTATTTCTCCTTGTTTCAGCTTTTGCAGCACATCATCTACATTGCCCTCAATAGTACTGGCCTGGTTCCTAAAAAAATATTACATTAAAAAAATGTTGCTTTCTTTTCAAAAAGATGGCATTCTATTATATAGATGGCATTCTATATAATGATGACCTGTTGAACAGAATATGAACACATACAATAAAAAAGCAGCATAATATTACAGCTTCCCAAAAAGTAGAGACAAACGTTTTGGCACCAGTGAAATAGTATTAATAGATAGATTTTGCAACGGACAGTACCTAGGGATCAGACAGGAAAAAAGTTGACTATTAAGAGATCCTACTCTTTTGTGACAGCTAATAGTATAAATATTGTGGTGGTTACAATATTGGAATTAAGTGAATTAGGCTATAAAGCTTCTTTGCCCGATTTTAGGATACATAATATTCTTTATTCATCTCATTTGTCATATGTTGAAACAATAACACTGGCCTATTGATATTTTTTTCTGAACTGAGATAATGTATGTGAATGCTTTAAATACTCAAGCGAAATGCTATCCAAATTACTGTTATTAATGGAGAAGATATAATCTGAAAGTAAGATTTACCACTAAGAATATTAGATAGCTTCCCATAGCACTCTTCATGTTATTGTATGCTTCCATACATACTATATGTTTCAATTCAATTAGTAAAATACATAATCAATAAGGATAGATTATCCAGTTAAAGGAACTTATGGGTTTTATAGTAAACTATCTCCTGAAATACACAGGAACAATTTCTTAATGAAAGTTCCAGAAGACATTTTTGTACATCAGAATTCAGAAAGTTTAAAATTATATACATATTCAGAAAAAACTTCTACTAAATGATATAATAAATAAACTTATGTCAAATATTACTTTAACAATGGATCAAACGCTTGTTCCCTAATTGCAGAATGAAATACTATGTATACTAATTTAATCTCCTGAATGTAAAGCAGGATAAAAATTTAACAGAAAAAGAAATGAATATTACCTGGCTTCTTCAGCCTCCCGCTGAAGCTGTTTGGCCTTAGCTATGTCTCCAGCAGTTTGGGCAATGATGCTGTCAGGACATTGCAGCTTAGCAATCAAATTCTGAATCTCAGTGATTTTACTGAGAATTGTGCCAGTGTCAATTGGAAGATTAAGGGACAGGATGTAATTGCTCACTAGCTGAATCGTGGTAGCATCAACGTCTGGATCTAAAAAAAAAGACAGTAAATAATCTAACCAAGATAAAGTGCATCTCAAATTCAGTCTATAAAATATTTGTGATATGCCTAGATCCACAGCATTTGATATTTAAATACATGATAGATCAGGGGTGTCAAACTTGCCACGTCATATGATTTGTCACAACGTATCGCAACTTTTTCCCCATTGCCAGAGCTGGGGTGGGTATGGTTTCAGCAAGATACATCTGTGCCACAGGCCGGCAGTTGACACCCCTGTGATAGATCAACAAGCCTTTGCAGTGCCACAAAAGAGTTTTTAGATTATAAAGAAAATTAGGCTTTTAAAACAAGCCAAATAAAACAAATATTATATAATGAGGAATAGTGAAGTTAGCAGCTGTTCCAATTAAACAGAACAAACTTTGCTAGACACAAATATTACAAAAACATGTCAAAATCCAAGTAACAAAGGGCTTCCAAAATCCAATCAGTGTGAAATATCTATTAAAATCAGCTGGAAGGAAAACATTTATCTATATATATTGAAAAAGGTTCAGTGGATTTGTAAAAAAAAAAGATTAAGGCTCAAACTGCAGTGTCTAAAGAGAAACTCAGAATGAAGGCTATGGTTTTATACAGATGATTCTCTTGTTATGTAGTTATGTACAATTTTCTAAACTAAAGAAAAAAATATACTTATGACCATAATTGAGCCCAAATTTCTGTTGTTAAGTGAAACATTTGTTAAGCAAATTTTGCCCAATTTTACAACCTTTCCTGCCTCAGTTATTAAGTAAATCACTGCAATTTGAAAAGTTAGTAACCTGGTTGTTAAGTCAATCTGGCTTCCCCATTGACTTTGCTAGTCAGAAGTCACAAAAGGTGATCACATGAATTTGGGACACAGCAACAGTCACAAATATGAGTCAGTTGCCAAGTGTCTGAATTTTGATCACGTGATCATGGGGATGCTGGAAAGGTCGTAACAGAGAAAAATATTCATAAGTCACTTTTTTCAGTGCCATCGTAACCCCTTGAACGGTCACTAAATGAACTGTTGTAAGTATACCTGTATAACTGTAAACACACCAAATGTATCCCTAACATAAGGAACCTTGAGAGAGTACAGATAAATCATATTTTCTCATTGTCCAGGACAGATAATCACCTGCTATATACAGAAATGCGGTGAGGAAAAGTTTCAATAGGGCGTTTGAGCTGAAAGACATATTACAACAGGGGTGTCAAACTCGCAATGTCACGTGGCGTGTCGCGATGTATCGCAACTTTTTTTCCATTGCTGGCAATGGGGTCAACACGGTTTCAGCACGACGCCTCCAGCCCGCGGACCGGCAGTTTGACACCCCTGTATTACAAGTATACTTTCAAGAAAATGGTAGGCCAGACTTTGGTGAATGCTTTGAAGATGAGGAATGGCTGCAGAAATTAGGCTACTTAGCAGACATTTTTTTCATTACATGAACTAGTTGAACAATACTAATGTAGGATACTGGAGAAAATGTTTTGAGTTCAAGTGACAAGATTTTCATTTTTCAACAAGCCTGCCAGATGAAACCAGAATGTCAGAATACTGTTATTAATACAAGCAACACCAACCTGGTTTGGTAAAAAGATTTAATAAGACTAAAGTTTTATAAATAATTCCAGGGTGACACATAGACATTTCTATTCAATCTTTACTCAAAGTATGATCTGCCTTGACTCAAAAGAGAACTCCCACTATTTTAAATATAGTATGGAATGAAATCCACCTCATAACGTTTTGGACAATATTTTGTACATTTTAGTTATTATGCAAAAAGGATTCTATTTTAGTTCTGTCAAATATAGAAAAGAGAAAATTGATAGCATATATTAGTGCTTAAAAAATTGCGGTCAGAAGGATTGTGATTCACTGCTGTTTGCCAGAGTGGAAGGAACTATATAAAATGCCCGCATTTTGAATAAATGAAAACTTGTTCCATGTTTTTCATTTGCTCAGTTCCAAAGGACTTGAACTAAGGATGTGTAAACTCATTAATTTGGGGATTTTGTTTTTAGAAATTGCTCCCGGAAAACTCTGAACCACTCTTAGGAGAGCATGGAAGTTTCATATGGTTCTAAAGCATGTGCACAATTCACAATTCAATTTTCCATATAATTTTAGAACATTCCATTTTTTGCACATCCATAACTTAAAGTAACCTAAAACCAAATAACGTCTGTAGCAAAGAGTTCCTATCCATATTGGATTAAAAGATATATTGAAAGGTTGACAGCATATTATGGATGCCCTCAGAATAACAGAATAACAGAATTGGAAAGGACCTTGAAAGATTTTTCATCCAGGGGTCCCCAACCCCGGACCATAGCCTACTACTGGGCCTTGAGCTGTTTGGAACCGGGCCACCAAAGTGGCAGGCAAGTGTGCATGCACATCTCCACTTGAACGAGCAGTGGGCGAACGCATGCATGCATACTCCATTTGTACAAGAAGGATGCCCACTGCTCATGCAGACCCATCCCCTCTCCTCCTCCCTTGTTGGTCTGCAAAGTCAAAAGTTTGGAGAACTTTATTCTAGTCCAACCCACTGCTTAAGCAGGAAAGCTACACCATTTCAAACAAATGATTTGAAAATCTCTTCATAAAAACCTCCACTGTTGGAGCATCCACAACTTCTGGAGGCAAGTCGTTCCACTGATTAATTGTTCTACTCGTCAATAAATTTCTCCTTAGTTCTAGGCTGGTTCTCTCCTTAATTAGTTTCCATCATTTCTTGTCCTGCCTTCAAATGTTTTGGAGAATAGGCTACCTCCTCTTCTTTGTAACAGCCCCTCAAATATTGGAATACTGCTCATCACTTTCTTGCCATTTTCTCTCATTAATGGATCAATCATTTCCTTGACTTTTTTCTTGTTTTTTACATGTTGAAAGAAGCTTTTTTTTTTTTACTTTTGTTGCAAGCCTTAGTTCATTTTGAGCCTTAGCTTTCTTGACTTCATCTTTGCAGGTTCAGGCTATTTACTTATATTCTGCTTTATGTATGTGCGCCTCCTTCCACTTTTTATCATTGTCCTTTTTTATCTTTCAGTTTATCAAAGCATTCTTTTTGTAGCCATGCTGGTTTCTTTTGAGATCTCCTATTTTTTTCTTTTTCATTGGAATTGTGCTAGACTAGGCTTTTGATAATCTCACTTTTCAAAGTTTCCTAAGCTACTTATGTGGTTTTCTCCTTGAGGATTCTTATCCATGGAATCCTTCTCAAGCTGTCTCTAATTTTTTTGAAATCAGCTCTCCAAATCCCTTATTACTATTGTGGTATACATCCTACATACCTTAGTTGACTGACTAGCAAAAAATCCATCTATTTCCTATGATTGGGTGGCCTTTAATATACACCTATGGTAAAGTCATTCTTTTTTCCTTTTGTATTGACTCAAATGTATGCAAGAAGGTTTTCATCATTGTTTTGCTGTATTTCTGTAGATATATAATTATTTCTTATATATAGCACAAATCCATTTCCTCTTTTATTTGGCCTGTTTTTTTAAACAATTTAAATCTCTCTAGTTGTATATTCCATTCATGGGTTTTATCCCATCATTACACCACTGTAATGGCAACAATATTATATCTGCCCTCATGTACTTGGATTTCTACTTCACCCTGTTTATTCCTTATATTTTGTCCATTGGTACATAGGCATTTTAGTCCTTTTTGACTGACTTTGTGTTTGTTTTCTATATAACCTGCCAACAAAAGTGCATATAGTCAAGGCCATGGTTTTCCAAGTTTCAATGTATGGCTGTGAAAGTTGGACCATAAGAAAGGCTGAGCGCCAAAGAATTGAGGCCTTTGCACTATGGTGCTGGAGAAGACTCCTGCGAGTCCCCTGGACTGCAAGGCGATCAAACCAGTCAATCCTAGAGGAGATCAACCCTGACTGCTCTTTAGAAGGCCAGATCCTGAAGTTGAAACTCAAATAGTTTGACCACCTAATGAGAAGGAAGGACTCACTAGAGAAGAGCCTAATGCTGGGAAAGATTGAGGGCAATAGAAGAATGGGACTACCGAGAATGAGGTGGCTAGATGGAGTCACTGAAGCAGTGGGCATGAGCTTAAATGGACTCCAGAAGATGGTAGAGGACAGGAAGGCCTGGAGGAACATTGTCCATGAGGTCGCGATGGGTCGGACACGACTTCGCAACTAACAACAACAATCAAAAACTTGATTTTTTTCCTAACTGCAACCTTAATATTCTTAACCGCATAAACATCTATGTTAGAAACACTGACAACCCTATTAGTTTGCAATTCCTGGGGATAGAAATGTTCTGTATCAATTAACTCCCTGTCCCCATCTGTCTTCTAAAGGTCATGGCAGATGCAGTCAGTCAAAAGACATCCCGGTGGTAGTCTCCAGCTCCAGAAGCAAAAGGTCATTGAAAAGGGACAGATGACTAAAGGTTGGAAAGAAAGCTAATCTGAGAGGTGGAAGAAAGAGGGATGGCTCAGAAATATATTTAAGAGTCCAACTTGAAAGTAATAAGAAAGGCTATCCATGAGCAAGCAGTGAAGAAGAAAAGGTGCAAGTCACAACTGGAGCTGAATCAGTATGGGGAAAAGAGTTGGAAAGTTCACTATGAGGAGCAGCTGAGAAGCAATTGGGAAAGGAAGTCCCCCTTAGAGTTCAACTGCTAGTCAAGTGTTTGGCAGCAGGCAGATGAGAATACATTCTCTGTTAACTGGAAGAGATTCTGCATGAAAGACCCCTGTGGGAAAGCAGTTATTGAATTTGGTTTCTGAGTAACAGCAGGTGCTATGAGAACGCTAAATTACATACAGCAAAGAAATTGACTAGTGACAAGGTATGGATTGTGAGAATGTTGGAACTCCTGACTTTACCTGTTAGGAAGCTGCGAACTTGACGGATGGACTGTTGAGTGCGCTGGATGTCTGCCTCTATCTGTGTCCTGATGATGCTCATTTGATTCCTCAGGTTTTGGGCATTAGTCTGAATCTTGCTGGAAGTTATTTCAGCAGCTCTAATCTATTAATAGGCAAGGCAGATTCAGTTTCTATATGGTATTTAATACAGCTCCTAAAAGCTTCAAGTTTTAACATTGTTCCAAGTGGGTCCACAAGCAGTACTACTCATCCCCTCTGAGTATTAATTACTCCCATTCTTTTCTATTATTTCAGATAAAAGTTTCTGGTTAAAAACAAATTTGAATATTCAAATAGAAAACAAATAGAACATTTTAAAGCACTTGTTATGTTCTTTATAGTGCATGCAATTTTCCTGGCTTGTTCTTCTTGCTCTTATATTTTTATGCTATTATTTTAAAAGCAATAAAAATAATGTATAAAAAATAGCTTTAAAACTTTAAAAGACTTTAAGGGCAGGTAGTCCTTGACTTATGACCAGTACTGGGATCAGAACTTCCATTGCTAAGCAAGGTGATTTTTTAAGTGAGTCACACCTGATTTTATGATCTATTTTTTTTGCCACAGGTGTTAAGTGAATTACTACAGCTGTTAAGTGACAGATGTGGTCGTAAAGCAAATCCGGCTTTCCCATTAGCTTTGTTTTTGAAAGCCAGCTAGGGAAGGTCACAAATGACAATCACAAATGACTCCAGGACACCACAAGCTTTGTAAAGACATGCCAGTGGCCAGGTGCCTGAATTTTTGTGACTGTGGAGATAATGCAATGGTTGTCAAGTGTGAGGAACCTATTGTAAGTCACTTTTCTCAGTGTTGTAACTTTGAAAAGTTGCTAAATGAACAGTTGTATTTTGAGACCTAAATGTATTTCTTTTCACAAGGACATAGAAAACATTGTCTAGCTAGGTTATTTCAACTGAATACATGAATAGAACTACAGTTTAAAATATTTTTTTTGCAAGTTGCATGTCCTGATAATCATTCACAAGCTCAGGGGGAAAACCAACAACAACACAAACATAAAGTGAAAACACCCAAACATTAATTTAATCAGGCCTATAAAAGAAGCTCATCCTTTGAAATAAATATTCCATTCCTTCCCTTTTGCTTTCTCCATTCTAAATACATACCATTTGTTCAGTCCCCTGAAGTTGACTATTGAAATTGCGGAATTCTTGGGCGGTTTTCCTAGCAGTTTGGATGGAACTCCCTGAAAGTGCAAGGATCCCTCTGCAGTTCAGACCTGAGCTACATTCATTTGCATTTTGATGAGGACACAGATACCCGATACATTCACTAGGAGTGCAAACTTCTGATCTCACAACACTGCAAACCTAACAGGAAAAGTCACAGGATCAATAAAGCTTTGCCAATTACAGTACAAATATTTGTAATACGATTCAGACAGCTTATTTTATTTGTTTCTTATGTGTAGTGTAACTTATGTGTAACTTGCCTATCATTAGATAGCTTCCAAATTCAACTTTAGCAGTTTCAGGTAAAACTATACATATAAACAGCACATAAAGCAACTCTGAATTTCAAAACGTAAGATCCCAACTGGATCAGTCAATAGACTTATTTTGTTGATCATTGTTTTTTACAGTTCAAGATTCAAACAGAGATGCATCCTTTTTGGCCAAGCTATGCAGGAGCCGATATTCAGAAACATGTTACTCTGATACAAGAAACAATGTATGTTTGCTAATCGCTGGCAGCTATAATATAAATAAGCACTGTATCTTAAATAATTCCAGTCTCATTGGTTGGTGTGGAAATAAGCTTGATTTCACCTGGAAATTTCATATATTTCAACATATTTTACACATAAAGATGGCAGTTCACTAATCCAAAATAAATATAGCTAGAATCAGTGAAGATATTCTCAAAGCCTGCTTGGTGTAATGATTAAAGCATCAGGTCAGAAACTGGGAGATTGTGGATTGTGACTTTAGACCCAATGCTAGTTGGATGACCTTTGACTAGTCATACTAGTCTCTCAGCTCTAGGAAGGAAGCAATGGCAAACCACTTCTCAAAAATCTTGCCAAGAAAACTGCAGAGACTGCAGAAACCTCTCCAGATGATCATCAGGAGTCAAAACTTGGCTTGAAGGCACAAATACTTATGCTCAGGTACCTGTCAAGGCCATGGCCACTAAGAGGTTCAATTCTGGCCTAAAGATGCTTCACAATCCATTCAGAATTGAATTGTTTCTGAGGACTACGTATGTAATTTACATTTCATCCTCTCCAGCAGAATCAAGACAGGGATCGGGAGGAACAATTAAAATCCCCTACTACTGCCGTCTGTTGAAGAAGTGTGACTAAGCTGCAAATAAAATTAGTCTTCCCCTGATATTAAATGGCTTGAATGTTCTGCAAAACATTTTAAATGCATGAAGGGATACAGAATCTAAGTAATGCTTATCTCCACGGATTACCAGTGCAGAACAAATTCAAAGCAATAAGGAGTCTTAGAGAAGATACTTGAGGGTTGGTGGCTAGATGGTATGAACATCAACGTGTTATTCTGATTCTTCATTCATAACCAGTATTCATGATGCAAGGAAAATATAATATTGCCACATGGGCTTTGTTGTATGTACATTCATATTCCTTTAATTACAAAATCATCTGTATCGGGTTTGTGTATGTGAAGGAGAAGGAGAGGGAGAGGGAGAGAGAGGGAGAGAAAGAGAGAGGGGGGAGGAGGGGGAGAGGGAGAGGGAGAGAGGAGAGAATCTGAAAATCTAAAACTGGTTTCTACTGTTCCTGGGGTTAATATCCCCTATTTATTATGCTTTGGACTTTCCCCTCTGTGTATAAAGTAATTACAGGTTGCATAGTTCTGGAAGAACAAGTGTCCTTGGAGAACAAAAATCTCTTTATTTTTCAAAATACAGGCCATGGTTTAACTGTACAAATACTTCCACAGTGTCTGAGAAAAAAAAAATCTAAACTAGCAATTCATGAATCTTTCTTTTTCTACACTAGCACTGCTTCTATCCAATTCCAACCAACCTTAATATCAATAACATCTATATCTACATATAAATATAGATAAATATGTTTAAACATTCAGCCTCAGTTTTTGTCATTTATACAAATAGGTCTGCTCTAGAGCATAAGTTTTACCTTATTAATTACTGGAGTCAAGTTGGGTGTGACAGCCATTTTATTCTGCAGTACTTCAAATCCTGAATCAGGGTCTATAAGACCACTTTCAAGCCTTTCAGCATTTCTCCTGTTTTCCAGAGACTGAGCAAGCAGTCCAGAAGAATCAGCTATGCGTACACTGGCATTGGAGGATGTGAGATGTGCAGACCTGATAGTCTTGAATGCCCCTGTGGGAATAAAGGGGAATGTAGTGTGAATTGATAGTTAATTCAAAATTTATTTTTTTCTTCAAGCTTTGAGTACGGAATTTTACTATTAAAAGTCACATTACAGAATAAAGGAAGCAAAACAGCTTCATAAACCAGAATTGACCAGTTCCCTAACTGAATAATCTTGCTCTTGACAAGTATTCTAAAGAAGAATTACCACCCATCTTTTCAACAGCAGAGCTATAAAAATCCAAGAGGATATTTTCTTCATTATATCTTCTCCAGGCCAAAGAAAATGTTAGCAATTTTCTTGGAAATCATATCAATCTTCACAAAAAGAAACAGAAACAGAAGCATAGCCCCAAGTCCTTTTTAGAACAGAACTACACAAACGTTGAAATATTGATTACCTAGATGAAAACAAGGGCTTTTCTCTCACATAATAGCCAAGCAAATACTTCTCCCATAAACTAGAAAGAAAGATTTAACAGTAATCAGCCTTCTGAATTTAGGACTATTTTTCCTCTTCTAAAATGTAATACAAGATAATGGTAAAAGTATTCATTCAACAACTTTTGAAGTGTAAAATCTCCAGAAAACTGAAATACTTTACAAGAACAAAGTATAAACTTTACAAAAGGGCTTAGAAAGATTTTTTTATAGATGTGGATTGATGAAATGATAGAATATATTTTAAAAAATATATTTGTTGGATTTATATCGTTATTTTAAACATGAAAAATATGCTGTAATAGAGAGTGAGTAAGAACCACTTGTGACAGGGAAAAAAATTAGTTTTAATGAATGATCTATTATTAAGGATACCTGAAATCCCAACTATATGTCTATTGAAATGTAACTGGAATAAGACAATTGCAATTAGTAAAGCTTAAAACAGGATACAGATTATCATAATTGCAAGGTGACTGAGGATCTTTGTTTGATTGAACTTTATCTAAAATTGTATTAATTTTAATTTTAATAAGTAATATTATTCCTTACAGAGAACAAATTGTTTATAATTAATTTGAGCTATATGTATATGACTTTGTTTTTGAATGATTTGACACTCTGACCACCACGTTGTGTCCTAAGCTTTTGTATAAATAAAACTTTTTTTAAGAAAAAAGAACAAAGTTCTTATTAAATTTGTAATACAATACTTCTTCAGCAAACCCAAGTATGTGAAAGTTTGAAAATGAATAATGCTCTATAACTGCTAGGATACCAATTCTGCATCTTCCTACTAACTACAGAGTAAATATTAAGTAGTGATAAACTCAGTCCAGAGTGGAAAGGGCTGATATCTAGAAAAGGATTCCTTAAGCCAGATTCATTGCTGGTTGTTTATGAACATGTGTCAAGCAGCTTAAGACTGCTGGCCAGAAAAAACATAGTAGAAACAAAAACTCAAAATAAATGTTCTTTATAATAAAGTTTTTCTATGGCTGTTGAGTCACAATATCACAATATCCATAAAAAGGCATGTATCATTATATGATAGCACTGTTTTTCTGATCCCACAGACACTGTAGGGAAAACCATAGCAACAAGGCATATAGAATTCAAATGAATTATTTTTGCTTCCCTCGTATCATACAGTGTGTTCATGTGTGATCCTACAGGCACCTCTGAGCTTCTGTCATGTCATAAATGAATTCAAATGTGCATTTAAGCCAGCAGAATTCTGACTTTCAGATTACAGGGAGTGGGAAGGGGATGAGCAAACTATGCTGTTTCATACATTAGTTTTCTTTAAAGTATTCTAGGGTCTAGCCAGCAGTTTTCAAAAAAAGTGAAGGTGGCACAATTAACAACTTGTTCTTGGGGTATATAAGCAACCGTCCAACTTGTTGCTATGGTGAGATCATATTCCACATGAACTAAACAATCTGGTGACCAGGTTTTAAGAATACATAACCAGAGTAACATATCATGAGTATGCACTACTAAATGTTTCTTGAGGGCAGGGAAACACAATATTGTTGTCTACCCACCACCAGCTTACTGGGAAGGCAACCTCCATATGATATTGATTTCAATGCATCAACTTATGTTGGGTTAAGTGATGCTGTGAAGTTCACTTGTGCTTTATTTCATGATAGATAAATGCCTCCACTCCATCTGACAGCTGTGAATCGTAGCTGGAATTTCCTATTGCCTACCATTACTAGTTGCTGCCTTCTATTGCCTTTGGGCTTCCAGACTAGGGAAATTCTGCATCTTCCTTCTTTAACCAGTTCACAGGTAGACTATAAAAGGTTTAGCTTTTTTAAAAAAAAAAAAAAAAAAACTTTTTTTAACTTCACTGATTAAAGAGTAAACAGTGGCACTCCTCTCTAACCAGATGAAACTTACAAGAGTTCTACCAGTTTAATTACAAGAATAATAGTAAAATCCTTCCTTCCTTCCTTCCTTCCTTCCTTCCTTCCTTCCTTCCTTCCTTCCTTCCTTCCTTCCCACAGATTAAAGAGTGAAACAGTAGATCTTTCATCCTTCCTCCTGGTAAAATTACCAAGTTCTGCCAACTTCTCCTATGCAATATGACAGGAAAAACTGGTAAAAAGTAGTGCATTATTTCTTTCTTTTTTACTGATCCATCAATGGATTCATCACATAGGAAGAGCTTAAATGTGAGTGGGATTGATACATAAGGTCTATCCATGTAAACTACATGTCTTCAAAGAGCTAGTCATGGAATGAAAAGCAGTTGGATCTTATTTTCTTAACACAGATGGAAGGGATAAAGAGGAAGGGGGATTCACCAATCAGGAAATATGGGAAGTACATTTTGGATGCACTGTAATATTAATCCATCACTATGACTAAAGAAAAGGGAGAGGTTGAAAACTAGAAAGAGCTTTCTTAAACTGATTTTATTTCCATCACTTTATACCAAGGAATCATACCATTTTACATACAGAAGAATGCAGTGTACCTTAATGGTACTACAGCTACATGCAGGAAAACAAGCAGTGGGGTACCACAAGGTTTCGTCTTAGGCCCAGTACTCTTCAATATCATTAAAAATGACTTAGATGAGGGAATAGAAGGAGAACTCATCAAATTTGCAGATGACACTAAGCTGGCAGGAATAGCCAAAACCCCAGAAGACAAGCTCAGAATCCAAAAAGATATTGACAGACTTGAACAATGGGCCCTATCCAACAACATGAAATTTAATGTGAAGAAAAGCAAGGTTTTGCACTTAGGCAGGAAAAACCAAAGGTACAAGTACAGATTAAGTGAAACCTTGCTCAAAAACAGTAACTGTGAGAGGGATCTTGAGTCTTAGTGGACAATCACTTAAATATGAGCCAGCAGTGTGCAGCAGCAGCAGCAGCCAAAAAAGCTAATACAATCTTTGATTGTATAAACAGAGGGCACAGAATCAAAATCATGTGACGTATTACTACCACTTTATAAAGCCTTCGTAAGGCCATACCTGGAATATTGCATCCAGTTTTGGTCACCACATTACAAAATAGATTTTGAGACTTTGGAAAAAGTGCAAAGAAGAGCAACTAAGATGATGATTAAAGGCCTGGAGACTAAAACATATGAAGAATGGTTGCAAGATTTGGGTTTGGCTAGTCTAGAGAAAAGAAGGACTAGGGGGGACATGATAGCAGTATTCCAGTAGTGAGAAGTTGCCACAAAGAGGAGGGGTTCAATTTATTTTCCAAAGCACTAGAGGGCAGGACAAAAAATAATGGATGGAAACTATGGCGCAGCAGTTAGAGTGCAGTACTGCAGGCCACTTTAGCTGACTGTGTTTAGCAGGTCAGCGGTTCAAATCTCACCGGCTCAAGGTTGACTCAGCCTTCCATCCTTCCGGGGTAGGTAAAATGAGGACCCAGATTGTTGGGGGCAATGTAAATATATATATATACATTGCTTACTGGTGTACACCGCTTAGAGAGTGCTTGCACTTAAAGCGGTATATAAGTCTCATAAATAAATAAATAAATAAATAAATAAATAAATCAAGGAGAGAAGCAACCTGGAATTAAGGAGAACTTCCTACAGTGAGTACAATTAACAAATGGAACAGCTTGCCTTCAGAAGTTGTGGGTACTTCATCATTGGAAGTTTTTAAAAAGAGACTGGACAGCCACTTATCTGAAATAAGGTCTCCTTCTTGAGCAGGGGATTGGACTAGAAGACCTCCAAGGTCCCTTCCAGCTCTATTATGATTGATTGATTGATTAATTGATTGATTGATTGATTGACTGACTGATTGATTAAAATACTTACAGCACTATTCCTGTAGTGGCTACTTCAGGCTTTACCAATAGGGCCAGGAATTAGGGAAGAAGTTCACTATTTGTCCTACTATCATCCCTGGTCAATATATTTGTTAAGCTGTTGAAGCCCTATATAACCCAGAAAAGTTATAGCCGGTGGAAATAGGATGAGTGAAAATGTAATTAACAGTGATGTCTGCTTCCTATCATATCTAAAACTAAGAACAAAATTGTCTCCTGCAGAAATGTTACAGTTTAAACATTACATTTATTAATGGGAATATGGCCATAACTTTATTCAAAAGAAAGGCAGAAAATGTATACAATGGAAAAAGTGCACATTTCATCTGGTGGAAGTAAGTGACTGTATGTCCTTTATTATACAGGCAGTCTTTTATTTCAGAAAGCTGTCCTTTAGATTGGTTTAATTATTTATTTTCTTGATTTTGCTCATGAATTTTCCTTTGTAAAGAGAACTTATTAAAAAACATTTTACCTTATGAACCTTTTTTTCAGGTTTGTCTTTTATTTTTTCCAAGAAAATATGGTAATTGTAGCTATAAGTTATTAATTCTTAGGCCTTCAATTATTGAGATTTACTTTCACGGCAGAAAAAAAAACAGTAAACGTGATATTTTAATATTGGAAGACTAATTTCTAAGACTTTTCACACTCTTTCTGGAAAGCCAACAACAATCTGAAGGGAGACATTCTTAACTAGATGTTCTCTGCATTTGCAATAGGAAAGATAGTTAACAAAATAGCTAAGTCACTGGCAGTTGAAACTTGAGGGTTATACCTGAGAGATCTATGCTGCGGCTGGCTTCAAACTCGGCCTTCTTATTTTGATATTGTTCAGTGATTAGATGCAGGCTTTTATCAAGAGCATCCATTTCTATGGACAGGGAAGAAACTTCATCCTCAAAAAGTATTTCAGAGCTTAAACCTTCAACGGTCTGCCTGGAATTAATAAAAGATATATAATATTTATATACACATTTTTCTGCATTATTGCCTTTCCCTTCTGATTGCTTTCCTCAAATATTAGGACAATCTTGTCACAGCAAAGACAGCACTATCTTTCTGAAAGTCATGTAAAATTCCATTTACAAGGGCAGGGTATCATGTAACATCTTTATCTCTCTGCTCTGGGGGCTTAAGGGAAGGTGGAGTGAATATACCACTCTGATAGCCTAGAACAGGCATGTCAAACTGCTAGTCCGCAGGCCAGATGCATCACTCCAAAACCACGCTCACCCCATTGCCAGCAATGGCAAAAAAGTCACGATACATTGCGCGACATCACATGACGTCGCAGGTTTGACATGCCTGACCTAGAATAACAGGGACAAATAAAAAGAATTCATTTTGTCATAGAATCTGTAGCTGAAACTCATTCCCACAAGCTAGAGTAAGAGATATCAATTCAGGTAGCAGGAGTAGATAAATCCAGAAAGGATATGAGGATCATTGTTTATCAGTCATAATAGTCATATATTATCTCCAATGCCAAAGGCAGTTGCTAAGCAACATGAGGAGGGACCTATTACATTCTTGGAATTCTTGATTGGTCTGCCAGATTAGATAGAACATATCTTTCTTGTATTAAACCTGGGGAAAGATGAAAACATAAGAAGTAACAAAACTGCTATTCAAAAGCTTTTCCATGTAAATAGACAAAGGCTGAAGTTGGCAGAAAATAAAGAAGCATTTTGTTCAGACTTTGGTTCATTTAGAGAGAAACTTAGGAAGCTCATTTATAAGCAAAGTGTTTTACAGTTCACAAACTCTGAAACAAATGAATGTATGTGATTTGTATTTTCATTTTTCATCTGAGGACCACAACACAATTTCTCTAATCATAACATAGACAGTGATTGTGGATTTGAGTTTGAATGGAGTCAAGTAAACTCCTTTTAGCAACTAAATGTTGAAAAATTATTTTCTGTATATTTGGGGGGGGCACTCCTTCTTTGTTGCTGGTAAATCTAAAGAAAAAGCAAGCTTACCTTATTGTAGCAATGGTATTGGCCACCTGGTCCAGTCCCTGCTCAGTAATGAGGGGATTGTCCAACGTCTGTTGAATATGCTGAATTTTTCTTTCCACTTCTAAAAGACGGCTATTGAAGCCAGAGGTTATTGTCCCTATTTGCAAGTGCTGTGTTGAATTTTTCAAGGCGGCCTGACGTAAACCAAACCTTTGAATGTCATCATCATAGGCTTGGAAACAAGGATGGCATGCCTCACAGTGATGATAGTTGCCGCAGTAGCCCCGTTGGCACTGGTTACACTGGGGTCCTGTGAACCCAGAGCGGCAAAGGCAGCTACCAGTCAGTTTGTTACAGCCCATTACTTCTGTGCCTTGGAAATTGCAGTCACAAGCTATAAAGACATCAAAAAAACCCCACAACAATTACTTAGAGGTTTGTACTCATATACTGCCTTCAACCTTCAGTAGATTCATCATCATCATTATCATCATCATCGCCATCTAGGCTGGCCAGGTCATTTAACATCTGAAAGCATTTTGTGGAAGCAAGCTGAGAGTGAGCTAGTCACAAAAACATATTTTTGTCAGGAGGCAAAGTGATGACGTTATTATCTTAGAGAGCCATGGAAATATTCAGCCAAGCAAATATTCAAAAACATAAACCAAAGGGGGTGGGGAAGCATTCTTTAAGCTTTGGAAAGAGAAATATTATTGAGAAGAGACTCAGGTTATTCCTTCCTAACTCCCCAGGATATATGAGGGAGGGAAGGAAGACCACAATCACTTGCCAGATTTTGTTGCTATAGCTTATCTTAATAAAATAGAATTCTAATCAGTTTCTAGTCTACTTTACTGGGATATATCTATCAACCCTGCAGGCTCAAAAATGGCTCATTTTTTAATTTTTTGCAAGGAATACTTTTTGAACACTCTGCAAAACGTTTAAACTGAATCTTCATTTCCCTCCCCCCTCAGAATGGCTAGGGGGCACCTGTGGAGCAAGAAACATTACTAGAAATTAAAATTACACTGGAGGGAAGTATCATATAATACACTTATTTACTGTATTACATTACTTTAATTCCAGATGTAAGAAATTAAGTCAGATGGGATAGAGAACTAGAACCCAATAAAGCAGGGGTGTCAAACTGCCGACCCACGGGCCAGATGCATCATAACGAAACCGCATTGCTGGCAATGGAAAAAAAGTTACGATACATTGCAAAATGTCACATGATGCGAGTTTGACACCCCTGCAATAAAGGAAATAACTACAGGCATACTTCATACCTATAAGTATTATATTATCTATTACAAAAGTAGGGATTATGCAGAAAAAGAGACTAAAGGCTAAAATATATTATCTGTAAGATATGTAATGTATCCACCTTTCTAAGAGTTAAATTCACATCACAGAGAAGGAAATCCTTCTAAACAAAAAGAAAGGAAGCAGAAGGCAAAAACCCTATTTGGGGGTTTGCATGTATGTATGTATGTATGTATGTATGTATGTATGTATGTATGTATGTATTGGTTTTCAAGGTTGACCAACTTCAAAAAAACCTCTCTGGGTATCTTAAAGTACTTTAAAAATTACACAGTTTAAAGAAATATGACTGACTGGATAAAAATATGTAATAACATCCCCCTATGTTTTTAAAGGTATTTTCTCATTTCACAGCTAAACTAGAACAGATAATCTTGTTATTGAATGTTTGCTAAATTTCCATCCTATGGAATAGTAAAAAAATAATGAAATAGGCTAAACAAGTAGGAGGAAGTCAAAAGGAAAGGAAATGGTTACAAATCTCTGTTAGGAATTAGAGAAGAAACAAATGTCATCAGAAAAAAATGCTGATGTTGAGGACAGATAGTTAGCAATGAACAACACTGACGTTTCCAAGCAGATATGTCCAACTTTCCATACCTCTACATCCAGTCCTAACATTTCCAAATGTGTGGTGTGGACATTCCTGTACTTCAACACTAGAGCATGTCAGTCCACCATAACTTTCCCTGCATGGACATTGCCCTGTAAACTACAAAGAAAAACAGAAAGGTCATTGAGGAAAAGATAGAACAGGCCACAGGGAGCTTGAAGGGTAAAGCTACAGAAGAAAGTAGGGTCTTCCAAGCCTAGTGTTGAATTTGGAACAAGAGGCATTTGCATCTGAATCCTTGCTTGGTTTTGAAGTTCAGTCATCACCACAATCTATGTCTTTCAGATTAACCCAGATTTTCTCAACCGGATATGGAAGTAGGATTGCTGCTTTAAGAATTAGTCGGAATCCTAAGAATTACAATTCCACTACACTACAAAAGCAGTAGAAGCAGTTTAAATGATAAATAGCTCCTAAGTTTTAAATGACTCCCAAGTTCCATGTGTTTTGTACAAAGCCTATTTAGACACATTTCTTCCAGCTAGAAAGTTTGATAACATAACCCAAATCAAAGCTGCCATCTGAGGTACAGAGCTGCAGATGGCACCAGCAGTTCTTCCATATTTGTTCTCAAGGTAGGGGGGGGAGCAGAAACAATTTTGTTTGAATGCTCTAGGAAACTATCAAGCCTCTGAGGCTGGCAGACTCAGGAAATAAGAATCACGTTGATTTCTGGAATGGTCTTTATTCTAGTAAGGCAATGTTAACAGAATCTTGAAAGTCTGTCAAAGCAATTCTCTAGATCTACTTACAATATATCTAGCATTCTTAGGCTCTTTCTCATATTTTCCCACTCTTCTGTGTAATATCTTCCTCCTTTCTTTATGTTCCCAAGGTTGTTAGACATTCAATTGCCCTCTCTTAAACAATACAATCTAAAAAAAGCATTGCCTCTTAATTTCCCTGAGGGTATAAACTATGATGTTTTTAGATGTTGCTTCTAATTGGGCAGCTGTTCTACCTTCTACCCCTCAATGGAATATCTGTGCTAAAGGAAAAGAATGAAAGATGGCATGGGAAAACCTCAGAGGAGTGCTCCTTTAACAATTTCTTCCTGTAAATTTTACATGGATGAGACTGGAAGATTCAGCCTCATCTAAAAGCTTCTGTAGCAGAAGAACAAAACAGTGTCTTCCTGTCAGCCACAGAGAGCCCAGCTTATGGAGCTGTGAATTGCGATGGTTTCATCTATCCCTCTGCCTTCCCATTCCCACAAATTGAAAGCAGTTGCGCTCTCTCTTCTCTCTCTCCTTCTCTCTCTCTCTCTCTCTCTCTCTCTCTCTCTCTCTCTCTCTCTCTCTCTCTCGCTCTCGCTCTCTCTCGCTCTCTCTCGCTCTCTCACTCTCTCGCTCTCTCGCTCTCTTTTGGGGGGGGGCAGTTGATACCTGGTTGCACTGAAGGCTGAGAGAATTCTGAGGGTGGCAGTTGCAAGGCCAGCAGCCCTCCCCGCTTGCGATTTTCCAGTGATTCGCAGCACACTCATCACACTTCTCTCCCACCACATTAGGAAGGCAGAAACAGCGTCCACTTTCATCATCACAGGGCATATTTCTGCGACTACCCAGGATGTTGCAGGCACACTCTGAAAAACAAAACAGAGCCAGTCACCTTGTCAGAACTGCTGGAAGGAAGAGGAGGAAGTATCGAAGCTTTTTGTAACACGAAATAGTATCAGACTGAAGAGACACAATTCTAGAGTACACTAGTCAAAGGTGACAAAAGAGCCAGTTTTCAGGCTGCCTTCCCCTACACTCTTGCTCCCTGCACTGAATTTGTGTTATTACTATGAGTTTAGATGACTTTTGGAAAGCGATTTAGAACAGTTTCATGGAGGAATGAAACGCTGTATAAGTTCTTCCAGGAAATAAATATGGAACATTAAATCCAGGAATCTCATTTCTCCAGTTATACTATTTCTTACTTTAGCCTTCCTATAAAATATGGAGTTGTGCAGAAGAAACTACCAGGATATTTACATCTACTTCTAGAGTTTCAATCTGAGAAAAAAGCTGCACTGCAGATTGAAATGGACCATTATAAAACACCAATACTGAAATCTCCAGTCCAGGAATTATAAATTTTTCAGTATAGTTTCAAACTGAGAGCAGGAAAGATGTTTGTGTGCATGCTGTACTAACCAGTTACTTATTAAGGTATTTAGACTGAAACTTGGTGTAAATTCGATGAATAAGGTAGACAGGAAGGCAGGCTTTTAGGAGGAAAAAAATTGCTGGGATTTGATGTTATTGTTTTGCAGTTACTGCCATCTCTTGGGGAGTAACTGAAGAATGGCATTATTGCTCATATATGGCTACTGCAGTTCAGATCAAAACATTTGCACAAGAGATTGGTGCTGCTGAATGAGAGTCGTTCTAAAATTTATGTGTAAGAAGTGACATTAGTTTAGCAAGCTGAGGCTCATCTTAAAACACATACCCAAGTTCTCACTATATAGAGACCTGGCCAAAAAAACATCTGGATCTGCAAATATCAATGCAAGTAGAATTGACAATTTTGAAATTTTAAAAGACAAAAACCACTTTGAGCCTAGATTTAAGGTCTATCACAAATCTAAGATGGTGAAACTATGGCCTGATTCACACATTTCTTCATGAGTTTTTTATTAAATAAGTTATAATTGTCTGAGTTTATAGAGCATAGAAAGCTACAAACCATTATTTACAAATGTCTATGGAAATTCTCAATCATAGAGGTCGTGTCTGTCCCAAAAGTGCTTTTCAAAAGAAAACTGGACTTTCTTGGGTTTTTTCCTTGAAAACATTTTACTTCTAATCCAAGGAGTTTCAGTCAAAACTGAAGAAGCTTCTTGGGTGAGAAGCTAAATGTTTTCAAGGAAAAAACCAAGAAAATCCAGCTGCATTTTGAAAAGCATCTTTGGGATATTATTTACAATCAATGGGTTTCTGTTGGCCACTTATGCATAACACAATTGAGCAAGACATCTCCCCTTCTATTTGTCTCAACTCCATGCATTGGCAGGCTCTACTGGAGATGTTGATCTGATATCCTCCAGATAGTTACAGTCCTCCCAGCCACTGCAAAAGTGACTGGAAGGTGGGTTCCCACCTTTTTGGATGACTTGTTATTTGTTTGCCTGCTTTTCTCAAGCAAAAAAAAAAAAACCTTTCTAAGATACAATTGTAGTTATTAACCAATATCAACTGCCTGTGCATTTTCCCCCCATTTTTTTTTCTTTTCACAACCTCATTAAGCACATTGATTTAGTGTAAAGTTCCAATTTAATCACTGGGACAGGCTATGTGAAAAAAAAAAATGGGTCACCTTTTCTTGTACTAAAGTGATCTTGGTCTTCAGTATCCATAGCACATTCTATATTTATCATATAATTCCAAACTCATTAAGAGGGTACACACAATCTCATAAGCAAAACTTAATTTTCTAATGTGGCACATTTTAACTTTCTAAACTGGCCAATGAGCTAAAAATAACTGAAAATATGGAAAAGGAAAATTAAAATGATCTATTTTTTACCCAATGAAGAATTGTTTTTTAAAAAATATACAGAACATTTTATAAGGAATGTATCTAATGCTGGAAACAAATCCAAGTGACACTAGATTTTAATATTAATAAATAGAAGACCCAACCACTTCCTTTTCTCAATAATTCATAGGATAATCTAAACCATACATATCTCCTGATATAACCTAGTTTACTACACCTTAAAATTTGAACCATGCAAACTTCTTTTCCTTCTGTTCCTAATGAAGAGATTTAGATGTCTTAAAGCTTACTCCAAATACTGTACATTTTAAGCAAATAATATTTGTTGATTTGTAGTACATAAAAGTTCAGTATTAGATTGCTTATATCACATTCTTAGGATAAGGTCAGCATCTTGTCACAATGAGGGTATATTGATTTGTCATGGTGTTCTAATGCCAATATAGCTCACAGGAAATGTTCAATTCATTTACACTGCAATAGATCCTCTTGATCTATTTCAGGTTTCAACCTACCATGGCAACCTTGGGGGTTAGAGTTGGTCAACTGAGTAAAGCCAGGTTTGCAAAGATGACAACGATCTCCTTGCACATTTTCCTTACAGACGCAATGACCATTCAAGCGGTCACAGCTAGAATCAGGAACAGTACCATCTGGATCACACTCACAAGCTGAAAGAAAGAAGTTAAAACTATAACTTTTTAAAAGTTGCAGCCCTATCATCAAAACAACATCAAACTAAAGAACAATTTGGAATTTTGTATGGGAATTAAATATTCTTAATTCCTCTTTATTTTCCTCTTTATTTCTTTTACTTGCTCTTCTAAGATGTAAATATGACTGTATATTCTTGTATTTTTAAAAAAGTCTAATATGAGGCAAGGACTAATGTCCAAACTTGGCAGGCCAAAACTTGGACAACAATGAACTGAAATAGAGCAAAAGATGCTTCACTTAGCAGTGATAAAGACTTGGTGATATTATAGTATGCAGCAATGCTGTGTGTGTGTGTGTGCGCGCGTGCGCGCGTGCGCACAACATTGCTGTGTGCAGTAATGTTCTCCATCATGTATCTTCTAATCTTAATAAAGAATTAATAAAGGAAGCAAAGTAGGCAGGTGGCAAAATGAATCATGATCCTGTGCTCATCTAGACCCACAAGGAAAAAAAAACTTTTCTGACAACAAAAAAGACATTTTGTTACACATTTACCATTTTTGGAGAATTAACCTGTTAGCAGGAATACTGGTGATTCACGCTTATCTTGCCTGCTGTGTTTCCATTTCATTCTGCATCTATTCTTGGTTACTGTTAAGAGCTGCCACTAGTGATCTGATAGTGATTTAAAATTGGCTCATACTGGCTGGAGTGAAAACAGCATATGAATAAATAAATGCCATTCATAAATTAATCAGTGGCAGGTTACTAAATTTGCTTTCCTATCTCCTTTATTGTAACTGGTGTACCGCATCTCTCAAATTAGGCCAGGCTATTTTTGAATGCTTCATTATGTTTTGCAATAGAATTATTTTTTTGAGCAGTGAGCTGAATTGAGGCAAAAGGAAAATATTTTTCGATAATGCAGCCACCAAGGTGGGATACTACTAGTGAAAAATAAAATAAAACAGCAATACAACATTTATACATCAATAATTAAACTATCCTAAAAGTGGTTCTAAAGAAAAGAGGTGAATGAAAGAGGAACAGGAATATGTACAAGCAGAGCTTTTTTTGTTATAGTACGCCCAGAACGGAGTTCCAGCACCTTTTTGGGATGGAACCTTGTAGGGTAGGCAAGGCGGGTTGTATGATGTGTGTGAGTTTTGGCATCTTTTTCTTTTATAAAAAAAAGCACTGTGTACAAGGAATCTTGAGTGTATTTATTTTTCAGACTTAAGGCAGATCAAATTATCTTCATTTCCTGGGAAAATCTGAGAGCTGCCTTCAGAAAGAGGCAACTTGGGGTTCCCATCAGAAATTCAATGTATCATCAGCAGCCTTCAGAGTTTGTTACTTGAGAGAGAGAGAGAAAATCCCTTTGCCAACAGCTTCCTGGAATTTTATATTTCTACTTCTTTTGCCTTTCCTGTGCTTGCTTGCTTTGAATAAATTAAATGAGAACTTTTAAAACAAAGGGAAAGCGTGTTTTTCTGAAGCTTTAATAAAACATATTCTGGGAAAATATGTTATGAAATTGAGAGAAGGCTTAAACACCACTTACGGAGACAGACCTCTGGATGGCCAAGATCAAAGCGTCGGTTACGAAAAAAGTTTATTTTGCAAAGTTCACAGTTCCTCCCTGCTGTGTTGTGCTGGCAATCTTCACATACACCCCCATTCTTTCCCCCATTTGCTTGGTATATACTTAGGTCAAAATGACATTTGTGGGAATGTCCATTACAATTGCATCCTAAAAGAGAAAAGAAAGTGACAACTCATGTGATGCTCAATAAAAAGAATGGTGTTCTTAACTTTTCAGTTTCACCACTAGATGGCACTTTGATCCCTTTAGCAATCTTAGAAGTACCCCCCCCCTCCAAAACAAACCCTTATCAGAAGAAAATCTATGTATCAGGGTTATTAGATCTGGCCTGCAAATATATGGATCACCGAAGACTGAAGTCCAGACACAGAAATCTCTGTTGCCATTTTATGCTCATCTAGAATGTTACAACCCAAATATAATAACTCTACAATAAATAAATTTAATAGAAATATCTGTACATACATTCACATATAATAATAATAATAATAATAGTAAAGTTGGATACAGTCTTAATCTATGTTACCAATTTTTGGTGATTTTTTTAAAGCATACAACTTGGATTTGTGTTTATACACAATTAACATGTGCATTTTGTTGATTTCTATCTTTCACTAATCAATGGGCTTCGTTTTCCATAATCACTGAGGAAATGTATATTGTAATTAATGTAACTACTCCTAATATGTCTTCTGAACATATTGTTCTACCTCCCTATGATTCTCCAGACCTTTGAGAACTATAGTACACATGACAAAATAAAAAACAGAAAATATTTTTTAAATGATTACATTCTCAGAAGATCATCAAATCTTTGGTTATTCTCATAAGATTTGAAAACTAGCAAACCTCAACCATTTTTTTTAAAAAAATTAAATTAAATGTATTTAATCTGAATTCTGGACATTATCTTGGTGGGGAACTAAGATTACATGGCAATATCATATTACCAACCGTTGGTTTCCACAAAGATCTGCAGAATATGTTTGATGATGATGTCAGCATAAACCAAAGTTTGGTAACCTTAATTATAGAATGTGGTGGAAAGCTACAGTTAGTTTTGCATATTGCCTTGGTTTCTCAGAGGAAAACTAGGGTTTGCTGTGCAAGTTTTGAAAGTAATTCAGAAATGCTTCAGACATAATGATAGCATGAACACAGTATCACTCTGCTCACATTGATTGACATTTTTTCAGGTTTCTACAAGAACCCTAAGTGCCATATTTTGAGGAGTTCTCTCCTTAAAAGTTTGTTTATGCCCTGCCTTTGTTTTTATAAATAACACAATATGCCTTCATCCTCCCATTTTCCCCACAACTCTGTGAGGTGAGTTGGGCCCAAAGTTACTCAGCCAGCTTTCATACTTAAGGTGGGATAGAACTTACAGTCTCCTGCTTCTAGTATGGAACTTAAGCACCAATCCTAGATCTTTCAAATAACAGCACCTTTTTTTTTTCTAGATTGCTAGAAAAAGATGACAGAAAATGCTTGTTGAATAGCAAATTGATGTTCATGCTGAGTATTGAAGTCCACAGCTCTTAAAGCTGCCAAGTTTAAAATACAATATGTTAGTGCAATGTCTCCAGCATTTGTTCAAAACACACAGACATGCAACTATACCTATTTTCCTGTTAAGAAACCATGGCAGTATGATAAGTAAAAGTAAAATAATAAAAATCAACAGTAATATTTAAAAAAGAAAATAAAGCATCCATCAATGTGAAAAATAACAAAGTTCAAGATGTGTATATAAAAAAATGCCTCTTCTAACATATCTCAGCATTCTGAAAGGTTTAAATGTTGGTTATGTCTATGTTCAGTTATCATTTCCTGAACTTCCTTTTTTAAGATTCTATAAGTCATACAAGTCAGAAATAGTTGTAAAGTTTTCTGTAATTATAACATAGACCAATATATTTAGGAATACTACCTATATTTTTTGAAAGGTTTATTAAATAAACATTTTCTTGGGAAATCAGATAGGCATACATACTACGACATTCATTAGGATTATCATCTTCTGCAGGTCTCCATGGCTGGTCATTATAAAAAGATGCACAGTGATCACAGTTTGGCCCAGCAGTATTGTGTTGGCATACACAATTCCCATGAACCTAGAATGTAAAAAAAACTTAGTTTTAATAGCATGGTAGCTTCTCCTGCTACTGTTGCCCTGTAGCTGCTTCTCACACTCATTTGCCCTTTATAATGTGTCCCTTTCAGCCTAATTTGGCAGATAACAAGTTCCATTTTGGCTTGTTTGCAAGATTACTTTCCAGCACTGTCTATGCTAATACAAAGAGCTTTTTGTGCAAGTCAGATGCTGTTTCTCACAGTTCATATTTAACTCTGAATACCAAATTATTTAGCCCTAGAAGACATTGTTACGAAGCCTAGTCCATACCTAAACAGGAAAACAAAAAAATATGCACTTCCTCCTCTTGAAAAAAGCACCTTTGGGACCACCATACCTGGATGACTGAGAATCTCCATAGACATGCACTCCCTCAGTAGTGCAGATTCAAAAAGCTACTAAATGAAGGGAAATTTTGAGGTTCTTCCCTTAAGAAGCCCACCATCTTGTGTAGTCAATGTTCCTTCTGTCCTCCTGACCATTATGTGAAATGGTGCGAAGAAAGAAAAAGGAACATATGAACAAGATAACCACTAATTATTTAGTGGGTGAGCCTGCACAGATATCTACAACTCAGATCCCTTCCAACTTTCTTTTCCGCTTCTGACCTTTACCAGTTCATTTCAAGACTAAACAATACAGATTTTTGTCAGTATAAAAGTCAGAATGTCAGTAGCAGCTACAAACTAGTAAGAGAAGGAGCAGATGGGGGGGGGAAGGAGGGGTGGTCTCAAAATCCCCCTTTAATTTTTCCTTACAATATTAACAAACATTGGTAAGCTTAAAATTTACCCATCCTTAACCTGCATGCTCTTTGGAGCATTTCTGACTTGACTGGAAATTGAATTCTCTTCATCTCTTCTGTCCCAAATCATAATCAAACTCATAATCACTGAGTATAAGAAAGTGCTGCTGACTGAAGGGTAAAGAAAGCAGGTATGTCTCTTCCCTACAGCTACCAGTTTCTGATTCCCTGTCCTTTCTAGATGTCCATGTTCAACTGTATAATAAATATTAAACAAGCACTTGATCTTTTGTTTAAACCCTGGCAGCAGGAAAGTCAGTGGGCACAAAGCTTTAAGATAGTCAGAAATGCATTCTGAATTCAGACAAACTCCTGCACTGGTCCAAACTGTTTTGAAACTCAGTCTTAACAGGTAGATAGCAAAAACTCATCCCCTCTGACAATTAGACACTGCATAATGCAGGAAATTCTCTCCGCTTTTCAAAAACACAAAGTAGTTCTACCACATTAGTGCACACCTGTAGAAACATATCCGTCACTGAGAGATCGGATTGCAGTGCAGTCTCACTAAACTGAAATGAGAACCCAGAAAGTTATACAAAGCAACATTGCTTTCCCACAATGGATAAATGGGTGAAAAAAATGATTGCTTGGAAACCACTTCTGGATTTTGTGCTTTAGATGGGGAAAAAAAATGAAATTTTGACTTTGGGTTTTGCTGATTAGTTAAATTTGTTGTCATAGAAATGGCTAATACATATTAAGTATGTAAAAGTAAAAAGTTGAGGCAATATTATTTTATACTACTGCACTAAAAAAGTTAGAAGGCAATGCGTTCACTTCTTTTTTTCTCTTTCACCATACACTTCTCTTTCCCCTTTCCCTTCCCTCATTTTTCCACTATTTTCATATTCATTTGTAGTTTTTACTTTGTTAAGTTTAATAAAATTATTTAAAAAAAACAAAACATTCTCTCTCTCTCTCACCATAGCCCTAGACTCTCCAGAAGAGGCATCAGGAGCAGCACAGCGGTCTGCATGCCCATGACAAAAACAACTCCCTTCCACCTGCATCTCATTTAAGGCATAGAAAGCACTGGGTAAGCGGTACCCCTGATGTGGAAAGCGAGTAAACTGTGTGAAGTTGATTCTCAGATTGGTGAATTCAGCCAGATCTATTTCAGATGAAAAAAGGGAGAAATATATAAAATTCTGGGACAAGCAGCAAAATAAAACCCAAGTTCTTTAGCTCTATCGTCTGTATGTCCGTGACATATGGACAGGGATAGTCAGATGTAATATTATTTGTGGAACAATGCTTGGGAAAAAGAATGGATCATTACTGAGTCCCAAAGCCATGTATGCATGTATACACAATTGTGGAATACATATATATACTCTCACACACAAATAAATGCTGTACATATGCGTGTATGTCCAAGCAAATAGCTGCAATGCCCACAGCTCCAGTACAATATTGCTTTGGAGAAAAGCTTTTTCAAGGGTATTAATGTGAGTTAAAAATAGCAGTTGGTATATTTATCACAGTACATAATACTGCATGTGCCCAACATTCCTTATCTTAAATAGGCCCAATCCATGCATGCAGCTGTTCAGGAAATAGCTGGTGGTGCATATCATTGATGTTTTTGTGTATTTACAGAATCTGATGCAAAACACAATGCAAATCACATATTGATGCATTTTCCTCTTTCATTAAGACATCAAGCAGCATTTTTTTTTTTTTTTTGTTCTCATGATCTAGTTTACAACTATAATTTACAACTTGAAGACTGAATTCCATTGCTCAGGCTCCTATTCCTCTTCTGTTTTGACATTAACCACAACAGTCGTGTATCTAGCTGTGGATCATTTTTAACACCACCCTCATTCATGCTAAAACTTTAGAGTAGGGATTAAGACTTCTAGTCCTGTTTTAGTCACAAAGCCAGCTTAGTGATATTAGGCCAGCCACTATTCTCAGCCTTAGGAAGAAGGAGCTGGCAAGTCACTTCTGAAAAATGCTCCCAAGAACAATCACCAGGAGTCAAAAGTAATTTGAAGTTGTTTTTTTTCATCCATCATTGCTGTGCCACCACTGACACCAACAGCAGATTGATACACAGTCAACAGTAACATGACTCCATACTATTTGCTAATCTCCTTGTGTCTTTGACAGGACTTTCCTTATTATTTATAGTAGGGGCAAACTGCCCCCTACATGCCATTGAATCAAAGGGTTTCAAGATATTTTCTTTTTTCTTTTTTGTCTATTGAGAATGTTTACAAGTTGTGACATTATCTTAATTTGTATGTACTGTATACCTCTCAAATCCTAACTGCCTCTGTTTAGAAAAAAGAGAAGAGCTAAGATACTGGCTGACATTCTCTCTTTTAGGCTGACAGTAGCTTTTCTTTTTGTTTAGACAAATGTGGACACTGCCCAGTCCCCTCAGGTTCACCCACTAACATTGTTTTTTAACAAAATTAATAAAAAATGTTTACCAGATAACACGATCTAGATATATCTTAGGTTGTCAGCCATCATGCCTCTTCCCAGTTTTCTTACAGGGAAAATCTTCTTAAGGGAAATCTAATTAACTCTCCTACACTCAGATTCAATTTATTTAACCATAAAATTAAAAGAAAGTATTTCCTTAGATGCTTGGTTGGCTCCATAACAAAACAGACTACTGCAGGCTGTCATTGTGAATGTCCATTTTGTTGGAGGGACAGGAACACAAAAATATGATAAAGCAAAACTGAAAACATAGTACTGCCATGTTTCAATCATAGCTTTATCAGAATTATTTTATCCAAATATATGAACAAAATATAACAATTTTATCAAAAAAATGTTGAATTCTGAACAATGTAGGCAAGCCCTTAAAGTACCTAATCTCCTATTTTAAACAATAATATTATATGTAATTTTTATTTCAGTACTTATTAAGCGATACCTTACCACCTAGCTGTGATCCCACTCTACAGTCAAGGCAATTTCAACACAGCAACATAGTTCTGCTTCTTGTAATATTCCGATAATTCTCAAATCCACCTTTTGCAATGAAATCAAACCGAACTAACATAAAAAACAAACTCACTGTTAATCCGTTGGCTTTGAGATGTCATCAGCCCTGATAGAAGGTCTACAGGGTTGAACTTAATCTGATAACAAAAAAAAAATAGAGAAATTATTAAAATCACAGGAAGAGTTTCTCTATCCTGCTTTTATAAAAGTCATCAAAGAGATGGCTCCAAGTTACATTAAAGTCTAATTCTAAGCAATGGCAACTTATTGCAATTGGTCACATATGCTGGTGCAAGCTATCCAATCAACCCTATTTGATCTCCCTTACCATTAAACAAACTAAGAAGCTTTTACTTAATGATTATTTTAGTTTTACAAACCCTTTTTTCTGGTCCTGGCTTCTTAAGACAGTAACAAGCAATTGATCTCAGTTTGGACATACAGGTAGTCCTTGACTTATGGCCAAAATTGGGGCTGAAATCTTGGTTGCTGAATGAGCAGTCATTAAGTGAGATGTCATATAACCACTCTGCTGACTGCCACAATTCTGACACTCCCAGTTGTTGTCATTGAGCAAGAATTGCACATTGTTAAATGGATGGAATACTAGGTAAGAAATATCAGGGTGTTTTACAGGAGTGGAAACCCAGCACAGGCAATCTGCAAGTTGGGGTGCTGCTACAAAGCAAAAACCACTCCTGGAAACCTCATTCAGCCCACCAGCGTGGCACAAAATGCCATGGCGTGGGACTCCTTAGCTGCCCACCCAGCCCACCAGCACAGTGCAAAGTTGCTGCATCCCATTCACATTCACCATTTTCTGCCACCTCTCAGCACCATTCTCCAAGCCATCCCACATTGTTCTCTAGGCCAGCATCTGATTCTCATAATCTTAAGAAGCCTCATTCTGCAAATCGCATGACTTGTAGAATGAATGGCATAAGCAATTTGCAGAAAGCAGCTTCCAAACAGTCACAAAATTCATAGAACATAGAATAATAGAGTGGAAGGAGCCTTGGAGGTCTTCTAGACCAACCCTCGGCTTGAACAGGAGACCCTATATCATTCCAGACAAGTAGCTGTCCAGCCTCTTTTTAAAAACCTCCAGTGATGGAGCACCCACAACTTCTGGAGGCAAGCTATTCCATAGGTTTATTGCTCTCACTGTTAGAAAATTTCTCCTTAGTTCTAGGTTGTTGCGGCTTAGAATAACAAAATTACATCCCTGGATGAGGAAAAGCAATTTCTTTCATAGGCCAAGAATAAAGTCTGCCTGATAGCTGTTTTCAAAATTAATAAATTAACTGAAAACTTAGAGGCAGCACTTCTGGATGGTTGCCCCAAGACTGTGAACCAATTATTACTTGTGATTGGTGGTGTTTTTTATGATTACTTTGTTTATATTGCATGATTCTTGTCCACAACCTGGAATTTGATACAGCAGTCTACAAGCGCATGTAATATTGTAAACTAATACAATTTATATATATGTACGCACACACACACATGTGTATGTATGTATGTATGTATTGTATGTATGTGTGTGTGTATATATATATATATATATATATATATATATATATGTGTGTGTTTTCTGAGGTTTTCGCGGGTATTTGTATATAGGTCTTTGGTTGTTCGGGTTTTCTCCCGCGTAAAATTGGAAGTGTCTTGGCAACGTTTCGACGAAGTCACATTCGTCATCTTCAGGCTGGTGTTTTTAGCTTCTTGCTTTGAGCAGCAATGTGTGGTTTTAGCTGTTTCTTCCTTTTAACTGCCAGTGAGGGTATGAACTGATTGGATGGGAGCTTGGCTGTGTTCTGATTGGGTGGAGGTGTGTTCTGAATGGTTAGGGGCTTGGCTGTGCTCTGATTGGCTGGGGGAGTGTTCTGTTTGGTTGTGCTCAGGTTAGTCTGAGTTGCAGAGGGGTTTAAGATTTTGGGGTTAGGGAGTCGTTTGTCAATAAGGGCAGGTTTCCAAATGGCTGGTAGGCGGGAGGTATCATCTCGCTTGTTCATGCTGTGTGGGCGTTTTTCTATCTCGATGGCTTCTCTGATTATTCTGTTATTAAAATGTTCACTTTTGGCAATGGTTCTGGTATTTTTAAAGTCAATTTCATGTCCTGTGGCTTTAAGGTGTTGGACCAGGGAAGATGTTGGTTCCTCTTTTTTGACTGAGTTCTTATGTTCTTCAATGCGTGCACTTATTCTTCTGTTGGTTTGTCCGATGTATGTGGTGGGACAAGTGGTGCATGGGATTTCGTATACTCCTTGATTTTCTAATTCAATTTTATCTTTGGGGTTTCTAAGGATGGTGGATATTTTTCTGTTTGTGCAGAATGCTGTTTTGATGTTGTGTTTATGGAGGATCTTACTGATTCTGTCTGTGGTGCCTTTTATGTATGGGAGGAAGGCTTTGCCGTTTTCTTGTTCTTTGTCTTGGATTTTAGTGGGGGTTTCTTTTTGGATTAGGTTTGTAATCTTATTTCTATGGAATCCATTGGATGTTAGTACATTGGTGAGAGTGTGTAGTTCGGGTTTTAGGTGTTGTTCGTCAGCTAAGCGTTTTGTTCTGGAGATGAGTGTCTTGGCTACAGAGTTGATCTGTGCTGGGTGGTGGTGTGAGAGAGCGTGCAGATAGCGGTTTGTGTGTGTTTTCTTCTGGTAGATGGTGTGTCCTAGGGAGCCATTGGATTTCTTGTAGACTAAGACATCCAGGAAGGGAAGTTGGTTGTTAGCTTCTGTTTCCATGGTGAACTGTATTTTGGGGTGTAGGCTGTTGAGGTGTGTGAGGAAGTTGTCCAGTTTTTCTTTCCCATGTGGCCAGATTATGAAGGTGTCGTCTACGTATCTGAGCCAGAGTTTGGGTTTGTGATCCGATTTTTCTAGAGCTTGGGTTTCAAAGTGTTCCATGTAGAGGTTGGCAATGACAGGTGAGAGGGGTGATCCCATGGGTGCTCCTTCTGTTTGTTTGTATTTTTGTCCGTTATAGAGGAACAGACAGCACTACGTAACCTGAAAGAAGACACCAGCATAATAATCCTACCAGCAGACAAGGGCAACGCCACGGTGGTTATGAACACATCTGACTACCAAACCAAATTAACCAACCTACTCCAAGACTCCACATACAAACCCCTAAATACAGATCCCACCACCTACCTGGAAAAAACCACCAGATCCAAAATAAAAGCCTCCCCCATTAGCGAAGAGATCCAGCAAAGAATCATTCCCAGAGAGAAATCATCCAGATGCCCTAAACTCTATGGTCTCCCCAAGATACACAAAGAAGGAACCCCACTCAGACCTATAGTCAGCTCCATAGGCTCACCTCTACAAAACCTAGCCAAATTTCTCGCCAAACAACTACAGCCCTATGCAGAATCCATCACCTCACACGTAAAAAACTCATTCCAGTTTATAGAGATCATAAAGAAACAAAACTTACAGCCCAGCGACCTACTAGTGAGCTTCGATGTCATATCCCTCTTCACCCAAGTGCCTATCAAAGAAGCCTTGACAGCTATCAAAACAAATATAACCCCCCCAAACACATCTTAGATCTGACCAACCACTGCCTATCCAACACATACTTCATCTATAATGGACAAAAATACAAACAAACAGAAGGAGCACCCATGGGATCACCCCTCTCACCTGTCATTGCCAACCTCTACATGGAACACTTTGAAACCCAAGCTCTAGAAAAATCGGATCACAAACCCAAACTCTGGCTCAGATACGTAGACGACACCTTCATAATCTGGCCACATGGGAAAGAAAAACTGGACAACTTCCTCACACACCTCAACAGCCTACACCCCAAAATACAGTTCACCATGGAAACAGAAGCTAACAACCAACTTCCCTTCCTGGATGTCTTAGTCTACAAGAAATCCAATGGCTCCCTAGGACACACCATCTACCAGAAGAAAACACACACAAACCGCTATCTGCACGCTCTCTCACACCACCACCCAGCACAGATCAACTCTGTAGCCAAGACACTCATCTCCAGAACAAAACGCTTAGCTGACGAACAACACCTAAAACCCGAACTACACACTCTCACCAATGTACTAACATCCAATGGATTCCATAGAAATAAGATTACAAACCTAATCCAAAAAGAAACCCCCACCAAAATCCAAGACAAAGAACAAGAAAACGGCAAAGCCCTCCTCCCATACATAAAAGGCACCACAGACAGAATCAGTAAGATCCTTCATAAACACAACATCAAAACAGCATTCTGCACAAACAGAAAAATATCCACCATCCTTAGAAACCCCAAAGATAAAATTGAATTAGAAAATCAAGGAGTATACGAAATCCCATGCACCACTTGTCCCACCACATACATCGGACAAACCAACAGAAGAATAAGTGCACGCATTGAAGAACATAAGAACTCAGTCAAAAAAGAGGAACCAACATCTTCCCTGGTCCAACACCTTAAAGCCACAGGACACGAAATTGACTTTAAAAATACCAGAACCATTGCCAAAAGTGAACATTTTAATAACAGAATAATCAGAGAAGCCATCGAGATAGAAAAACGCCCACACAGCATGAACAAGCGAGATGATACCTCCCGCCTACCAGCCATTTGGAAACCTGCCCTTATTGACAAACGACTCCCTAACCCCAAAATCTTAAACCCCTCTGCAACTCAGACTAACCTGAGCACAACCAAACAGAACACTCCCCCAGCCAATCAGAGCACAGCCAAGCCCCTAACCATTCAGAACACACCTCCACCCAATCAGAACACAGCCAAGCTCCCATCCAATCAGTTCATACCCTCACTGGCAGTTAAAAGGAAGAAACAGCTAAAACCACACATTGCTGCTCAAAGCAAGAAGCTAAAAACACCAGCCTGAAGATGACGAATGTGACTTCGTCGAAACGTTGCCAAGACACTTCCAATTTTACGCGGGAGAAAACCCGAACAACCAAAGACCTATATATATATATATATATATATATATATATATATATATATATATATATTTGTTTTCTGAGGTTTTTGCGGGTGTTTGTATGTAGGTCTTTGGTTGTTCGGTTTTCTCCCGCGTAAAATTGGAAGTGTCTTGGCGACGTTTCGACGAAGTCCCATTCGTCATCTTCAGGCTGGTGTTTTCAGCTTCGTGCTTCGAGCAGCAATGTGTGGTCTTAGCTGTTTCTTCCTTTTAACTGCCAGTGGGGGTATGAACTGATTGGGTGGGAGCTTGGCTGTGTTCTGATTGGGTGGAGGTGTGTTCTGATTGGTTAGGGGCTTGGCTGTGCTCTGATTGGCTGGGGGAGTGTTCTGTTTGGTTGTGCTCAGGTTAGTCTGAGTTGCAGAGGGGTTTAAGATTTTGGGCTGCCTTGCTATTTTTTGGCTTCGCGTTTGTGGTCGTGCCTCATTTTCATGGAGGGTGTCAGTTTGCTTCATGTATGGATTGGAGGGCTTTAAAGTGGCTAATGATGCAGCTCTGGTCTGGCTTCTGGTTTGTGGTCGTGCCTCATCATCGGTGTGGCTTTGGGTTTGCTTTTTGCGTGGATGTGTGGTGGTGACATCCTGTGTGGTTTTTGTGAGTGTGGGTCTGGTATCATTTTTTGTATTAGGGAGTCGTTTGTCAAAATCTTAAACCCCTCTGCAACTCAGACTAACCTGAGCACAACCAAACAACAACACTCCCCCAGCCAATCAGAGCACAGCCAACCCCCAGCCAATCAGAGCACAGCCAACCCCCCAGCCAATCAGAGCACAGCCAAGCCCCTAACCAATCAGAACACACCTCCACCCAATCAGAACACAGCCAAGCTCCCACCCAATCAGTTCATACCCCCACTGGCAGTTAAAAGGAAGAAACAGCTAAGACCACACATTGCTGCTCGAAGCACGAAGCTGAAAACACCAGCCTGAAGATGACGAATGGGACTTCGTCGAAACGTCGCCAAGACACTTCCAATTTTACGCGGGAGAAAACCCGAACAACCAAAGACACACATATATATATATATATATATATATATATATATATATATATATATATATATGGAAACCCGCCCTTATTGACAAACGACTCCCTAACACAAAAAATGATACCAGACCCACACTCACAAAAACCACACAGGATGTCACCACCACACATCCACGCAAAAAACAAACCCAAAGCCACACCGATGATGAGGCACGACCACAAACCAGAAGCCAGACCACAGCTGCATCATTAGCCACTTTAAACCCCTCCAATCCATACATGAAGCAAACTGACACCCTCCATGAAGAGGAGGCACGACCACGAACGCGAAGCCAAAAAATAGCAAGGCAGCCCAAAATCTTAAACCCCTCTGCAACTCAGACTAACCTGAGCACAACCAAACAGAACACTCCCCCAGCCAATCAGAGCACAGCCAAGCCCCTAACCATTCGGAACACACCTCCACCCAATCAGAACACAGCCAAGCTCCCACCCAATCAGTTCATACCCCCACTGGCAATTAAAAGAAAGAAACAGCTAAGACCACACATTGCTGCTCAAAGCACGAAGCTGAAAACACCAGCCTGAAGATGACAAATGGGACTTCGTCGAAACGTCGCCAAGACACTTCCAATTTTATGCGGGAGAAAACCCGAACAACCAAAGACCTACATATATGTATATGTATATATATATGTATGTATATATGTATATGTATATGTTTTCTGAGGTTTTCGCGGGTGTTTGTATGTAGGTCTTTGGTTATTCTCCCGCGTAAAATTGGAAGTGTCTTGGCGACGTTTCGATGAAGTCCCATTCGTCATCTTCAGGCTGGTGTTTTCAGCTTCGTGCTTCGAGGAACAATGTGTGGTCTTAGCTGTTTCTTCCTTTTAACTGCCAGTGGGGGTATGAACTGTTTGGGTGGAAGCTTGGCTGTGTTCTGATTGGGTGGAGATGTGTTCTGATTGGTTAGGGGCTTGGCTGTGCTCTGATTGGATGGGGGGTTGGCTGTGCTCTGATTGGATGGGGGGTTGGCTGTGCTCTGATTGGATGGGGGAATGTTCTGTTTAGGTGGGGGCTTTGTTGTGCTCAGGTTAGTCTGAGTTGCAGGGGGATTTAAGATGGTGGGCTGCCTTGCTATTTTTTGGCTTCATGTTCATGGTCGTGCCTCATCTTCATGGTGGGTGCCAGTTTGCTTCATGTATGGATTGGAGGGGTTTAAAGTGGCTAATGATGCAGCTGTGGTCTGACTCTGGTTTGTGGTCATGCCTCATCATCGGTGTGGCTTTGGGTTTGCTTTTTGCGTGGATGTGTGGTGGTGACATCCTGTGTGGTTTTTGTGAGTGTGGTCTGGTGTCATTCTTTGTGTTAGGGAGTCGTTTGTCAGTAAGGGTGGGTTTCCAAATGGCTGATAGGCGGGAGGTATCATCTCGTTTGTTCATGCTATGTGGGCATTTTTCTATCTCGATGGCTTCTCTGATTATTCTGTTATTAAAATGTTCAGTTTTGGTGATAGTTCTGGTATTTTTAAAGTCAATTTCATGTCCTGTGGCTTTAAGGTGTTGGACCAGGGAAGATGTTGGTTCCTCTTTTTTGACTGAGTTCTTATGTTCTTCAATGTGTGCACTTATTCTTCTGTTGGTTTATCCGATGTATGTGTTGGGACAAGCGGTGCATGGGATTTCATATACTCCTTGATTTTCTAACTCAATTTTGTCTTTGGGGTTTCTTAGGATGGTAGATTCAAAATATATTCAAAATCTTGGCGACACTTAACAAAGTCGAAACGTCGCGAAGACACTTCCAATTTGACACGGGAGAAAACCCGAATAACCAAAGACCTACATACAAACACCCGCAAAAACCTTAGAAAACAAATATAAGAAGCTCAAAATAGCTATTCCAGTTCTCCCTTTATTCTGTTAGCAATCTAAAAAAAATGTGTATAGATAGATAGATAGATAGATAGATAGATAGATAGATAGATAGATAGATAGATAGATAGATAGAGATAGAGATAGATACACACACACACACACACACACACACACACACACACATGATACTGTAACTTTGAGGTCAATACATCCCATGTAATCTTAGTCCAAAGAGTACTGCATTTACAATACCTTTCCCCCATTCTGAGGTTGTCTATGTTGACTCTGTATGTCCTGGCAACGGACATCATGCCATTTCTGAGGCAAGCTCTTGGGGATCCAGGGAAAAGTAGTAGAACAGTCTGTGGACAAGTACTGATAGATCTTCCACGTTGTACCAAAATCAGTAGAACGCTCAATCACCATGCCACCTGGCAAAGGACTCTTAAGAGACAGAGGAAAGAAGAGATAACTAGAATTCAATAGTCTTACTTTCTACCCTTAGCAAGAAAAAGGAGAGAAAGGGGAGTTAATCAGTGTGATTGATCCAGAACCCAGATAAGCTAACAGTAGAGACCAAGACTCTCACTAGTTTACAAAGGTCATTTGAATCAAAATTTATTTCTCCAAAAAGAAACAGGAGAGCCATGCACATACCCTGAAATCCAGCAGGAGATTAGCAAGCTGAAATTTATTGTTTAAATCCAGTTGGAGATAAACATGTTTCACATCTGAGGAGACAAAAAAGCAATTATCAGAACAGTGGGCCATGAACATTATGAAACTAAGGCTTTTTCTAAAAGCTAGATCATTCATTTCCTCTCTGCAGTTAATCTATTAAATCTCAAGCTCTATTTACTAAATCCACACAACCCTTGTCCCTCTGAAATCATTGTTCTGACCATAAAACTACTTTACAGCACGTCCACATCAGCCTCTTTCCTTTCCCCCCCCTCCTCTAAATCAGGGACTTACCATTCTGAGATTGCCACCAACGCTTGTGTCCTGTAGAAGAGAGAACATTTTCCACCCGGTGACTGTTGAATGCATGAGGGATTCTGGAATCACATCGGCAACATTTCATTTGCCACTGAAACAGGAATAAAAGATGGCCATTAGATTTATGATCTCAATGGCATGGTGTTCTACAAAATTAAAACACAAATGATATAATAATGCAAAACAGTATTAAATGTTACTTCCATCTTTTAGAAACCAGCATTCTGTTTAATGGAATTTTTCTTAGAGAGAGGATTCTTTGATTGAAAGCTTGAATTTTAGTCAATTGGATAAATAAGCATAGTGTATGTTCAAACTAGGCTTCTAATATACCCCTCCATATGTGTAAAGCTATATGGAGATATAAGTGCAGGGAATCTTGTATTTTTCCACTTCTTTCTTTCCTGGTTATTCACAAGTAGACTTTTCCCAACTGCTCTGTCTGTCCCATAAGATCAACAGGATGGGCATGAGCTGGTTTCCATCAATTAAACAATGTCAACTCATGGAACCATGGAGTTGTACCTTGTCTTTGTCATGCCTTCATTTTGAAACACTTGCCCCACACCCAGGATTATTCTGGCTCCAACAATGACATCCTTTAGAAAAAAATGGCTTTCTAAATACTTATATTAATATATTTCAAAATACTTATATTAATCTCCTTTCCTTTTCTTCCCTTGGCCCAAACATTTTTATCAGAACACAAGACCAGGTTTAATGATTTAAGAGCACCTTCTTCCAATTCTTCTTTGGCAAATGTTTACTTTGTAAGGACTGCTCACTACCTTAAAACTGGTGAGGCTGTGGCTATTTTAAATCTCATCTCCCCAAGGAAATATGGACACTTCGAAAGCAATACACAATTTTAAAGTTGGAAAAATTAAATTAATTTGGGTGACAAATTACCTTGTCAGTTTTTACTGGAAACCAAGCTCTCCAAATTTCACTCTAGCTGTTATATTTCCCCTTCAAAGGGGCAAACATTACATTTTGGGTTACATGCTGTGGTTTTTTTTCTTCTCTGTGTTAAGTTCATGCCAGAGCAAAATGAATAGACTTGGTATAATTCCTTTTTTAAAGCCTAAAACAAGAAGCCTGGAAATTGTTTGACTTCCATTTCATAGAGGAACAATTTTTGTTTATTCAAATCCACATCAACTAACACTTGACTAAAGCACCCAGGGAGAATGAATACATTCTGGCAAGCTTACTATATTGTCTCTTCTATTTTATTATAACTTTAAATAAATACTGTATTTATTACATGCAAGTAAACCCAAATGTTGAGCCTGATAATATTTGCCATGCATGAAAACAAAAATTACAGTTTTGCCAGGTTTTAGCTGAACAACATTGCATTTATTTAAATCTCAAAATAGATTGAGCCTAAATCCATCTCAACTTCCTAGATTGAGAAAGCATCAGAAGACAAGTGGCTTTACTGAGTGAAAGGTTAGTAGGTGAAAAGTCAACCCTCTTTAGCTTGAGTGAGTAATTCAAGGAGCAAGTCAGACTGGGCTATCTCAAAAGGTTTGTGCACAAAAGGCTTAAAGAGACTTCAGCCCAAACTTGACAAACAAATACTAAAAGATGACAGATTAAGCTAAATCCTGGCTTTTAGGTTAATTCCATTGATTCTGACAAAAGCACGTTGAAAGAAATGGTGTAAAATGAACCAAATGCCACCAGAACAAGAGTCTGCTTACAACAGGCGTGTCAAACTGCTGGCCCGTGGGCTGGATGCGTCATGGCAAAACAGCGCCAATCCCATTGCTGGCAATGGGAAAAAAGTCATGATATGTCGCGACATGTCACGTGATGTTGCGAGTTTGACACCCCTGGCTTAGAATATTAGTATACATTGACAAACACAATATACTATTATTAGCAATCACATGATTAAAAATAGTTGCAGGGTGAAAAAAAAATTATGTTACCAGTCTGAGTCTGGATAGAGAGAAATTGGAAGGTTATAATATAGAAGAAACTGAAACATTGGTAGACAAACAGATTTGGCAGACACATGACATTAATTTATTATGTTATTAGATTCAGATGAAAATCCATAAGGTGCACAGGTTAAATTCTGAAAAGGTTGTCATTACCACTTCTGTATACTGGAGCATAAAAGATTTTATTAGATAGTAAAATGAGTATAACTTCAGATACATTACAGTAGCACAGGGTGGACTGCATTTTTGTCACATTGTAATAAAAAATGGCTCAGGGAAAAGAAGTTTTTTCTATCCATTTCAGCACAATACATTGTGTAAAAGCTCTTCTATATTTCTAGAAGGACCTCTCATTGTCTCATATAGCCATGACTTGACAAATGATCTGTCTGCTGAGCTTGGACTTCCCAGAGTTTGGACCTGACATACATGGACATTTGAAACATACATTTCACAAGACAGTGCACCCCAGTGTTGAAATCCTGCAGCTCTTTCAATATTTGGGAAACTTAAAATTAACACTGGATGAAAATGAAAGGGGTTGACTGCTGTACTGAATAAGTTGTGTAATATTTTATTGCTTAAGAAAAAAAAATGCCCATGGTCCAAACTAAAGTTTGCCAGAGGAGACGTGTGTCTCAAAGTTCCCTGGGTCAGACAATATTTCTGACCAGCTTTTATTTTGGCTCTCGACAAGTTCATGCTGCTTTGGAAGAACTCTCTCCAATATTCTTCCTGCCAAGAAAGTTTGATGCATTCTCATTCTCTACTGGCTTTAGGGAGAAATGTGCAGATCCTTCTCTGTATCTATTGCTGTTTCCTGGATCAAGGAGGCAGGTACATGCATGAAATTATGTATCCCCACTGATACTACAGATCACTGAAACAGAATCTACACTAAAGGAAGGGAGCTTATTCAACCAATGACAAAAAAACAACATTCAAATTATGGAATCAGCCAAGAGTTGTCTCCTTGTAGCAGTTGAATTGACCCTGTATAAATGGAGGTCCAAAGAGGTCCCTAACAATACATACTGTATATCTTACTTGGTCTTCTTGTAATCAAAGACTTAGTCCTCAATACTAAGATAAGAGAGCAATCAAGAAAACTAGAATGTTCTCATGGAATACACCAACTTATACAGTTAAATTTTCTTTCTATTGATTGTATATTTTCCTTCCAATTATTTGTTCACCTTTATCTGGTACACAATTATGACAAGAGTAAATAACAGGTACAGTATCTCCTTAGGAAGCAAATGACCAATTTCTATTTCACATAAAGTTAGAGAAATGCCTTTGGGTCACATTAATTTCTTTCTATGCGGTAACAATGGGTGGGAGCTAGTTAATCTTCTAAATAACATGTATGTTGTGTCTTATCCTTATAGCAACCATTTTGTAAGCATTTTCATGACATACTCTAAAATATCAGACTGCCATTAATTGAGTAACATTTCCTATCTTCCTGGACTTCCTATGAATTACTTTTCTTCCTACACCCATATTTTCATCAGAAACAGAAAGAAGAACTTATGTCTGGGTGAAAGAAACAAGAAAGAAAAACTAGAATATGCAGATAAAAATAATAGGATGCTTTAGCACCACCCTTAGGGTGCATGCTTTTAACTGCAAATAACTATACCATCATAATTTACACAAAAAAAAACTCCACAGCAAGTTGTTGTCTACCTGCATAATTTTAGCTCTATACATGCAAATCGCCATCTCCTTTCATTTGTTTCAGTTATGAGTTTCTTTTCTGGAAGTATACAACTGACCACTACAGGGCAGGGATGGATGGGGCCTTTATCCTAGTCTTTGAATCCACTTTAAAAGAATGCTGTCTGTAAGGTATGAGTACATGTCTTCAAAAGAAATCTGGGTCTAATTTCACTTTATAATCTCATGTAATGTATTTTCATAAAAAAAAATTGTGCTTGATGTATGAGTATGATGTCATTTTGAAATGTAAGCTTTTAAATGTTGTTGAATTAGCATTTTTGCGAATAGAATAGAATAGAATAGAATAGAATAGAATAGAATAGAATAGAATAGAATAGAATAGAATAGAATAGAATAGAATGAGTTGGAAGGGCCCTTGTAGGTACATGAGTCCCTATAACATTTCTGACAGATGGCAGTCCAGCCTCTTCTTGAAAGCCTCCAGTGATGAAGCACCAACAATATCTGAAGGCAATCTGTTCCATTGGTTGATTGTTCTCACTGTCAGAAATTTCTCCTTATTTCCAGACTGAGTCTCTCCTTGATCAGTTTCCATCTGTTATTCCTTGTCTGGCCTTCAGGTGCTTTGGAAAATAGGTTGACCCTCTCGTCTCTGTGACAGCCCCTCAAATATTGGAACACTGCTATTGTGTCTCCCCTGGTCCTTCTCTTCATTAAACTAGCCATGCCCAATTCCTGTAACCATTCTTCATATGTTTTAGCCTCCAGTCCCCTAATCGTAGTTGGTGCTCTTCTCTGCACATTTTCTAGCATCTCAACATCTTTTTTTATAGTGTGGAGACCAAAATTGATTGCAGTATTCTAGGTGTGATCTTACTAAGGCTTTATAGAGTTGTATTAGTACCTCATTAGTACCACATGATCTTGATTGAATCCCTCTGTTAATGCAATTTAAGGTTGCATTTGCTTTTTTTTGGCTGCTGCCGCACACTGCTGCCTCATATTTAATTGATTGTCCACTAAGACTCCAAGATCTCTCTCAAAGTTACAGCTATTAAGCCTGGTTTCACCCAATCCATATGTGTACTTTTGGTTTTTCTTGCATAAGTGTAAGACTTTACTTTTCTCTACTGAGATCAAATTGCATCATAAGTTCTCTAATCCTAAAACCACTTTATACCCAGCAATGTTTTAAATAATTTTTCATATATGCAGTGTTTCATTTCAGGAATATGTCGTTAAGATGATAGTTGTTTCTATAAATCTGGTCAACAAAGAACCTGGCATGAAAGATGTTTATAGAAAATAGTTTGATCTTTTTAACAATATGAAAACAATATGAAAATGTCACTGGAGCATCTGGGATTCTTATTCATACTAGTTTTGGGGAGCAGGGGAATGTGAGTTTCCTCAGATTTTGAAATAATGTTCAAATTGTCCCCTTGACCAG